CCAGTCAAGAAGACCCAGAAACTGCAGCTAGTACGAGTGCAGAGCCTCAAATAATACCAGCTAGTGACGAAGATTCAGAAGCTGTAGCTAATGCGAATCGACAGACCCAAATAATAGCAGCCAGAGAAAAAGCTCATCTAAACTTGGAAAAACAGGCCCAGAGAATGAAATTGGCTTCGGATTCAATACATGTTCCTGTAGAAATCGGTGATAATATAATTATACCAATTCCTGATGTTGACAGAGCAAAAGCAGATCTCCTTAATATTATCAAAGTGATTCTTCAAAAGGATGAACAGGGTTTGCACAAATTTGGAGCGAAATATGGGATACTTGATAAATTATACTGCAAGTATGTATTGTTCAATTGTGCCACTGTTTAATGTTGCTAACTATGCGGTTAATTCGTTAATATTTTGAGATCTAATTATTATGAAAAAAAATTTTTCCTTTTTTGGGCACAATTTACCATAATTATTATTAATTAAAGAATCAATTTAAAATAAGTATGAACCTATTTGAAAACCTAATTATTATGAAAAAAAAAATGTTTCCTTTTTTGGGCACAATTTACCATAATTATTATTAATTAAAGAATCAATTTAAAATAAGTATGAACCTATTTGAAAACTTAAATGTACTGTACTTGATCAGGCCAGAATTCGATATGTCCAAAGAAAAATTCTTGCTACTAGAAGGAGTGCCAGAAACAAATGTATCTTCAAGAACTGTTGCCAGGAAAGCAGCCTTAGGAACAGGCCAAGGATTTGTTTGCTGTTTGTATAAGAAGGTGTGTATGTCGAAGAGGTGCTTTTGTAAGAAAAAAGGTAACTTGTGTAACTGAAAATGTCATGATAGTTTGCCTTGCAATAACAAGTAACGTAAACTTAATTTTTATATTTATGTTTCTTTATTGAATGATTAATATATATTACTAATGTTGTTTTAGTGTTAATATTGCCGGCATGGCTCTGTGATTGTCCTTAAAAATATTCCTATAGTGTATGATTAATTTGTATCGCTTCAATTAATTTTAATAACACAGATGCATGACCAATATTTTCAATAAATATTGTATTAAATAATACAAATGTTTTAATCCCAATCATCCCTTTATTTATTTCCCCCAAACATATTTATGTAGCTAAAATTAGTTTTAACTTTGAACATTAGTTAAAACTAATGTTCAAATTAGTTAAAACTAATGTTATCTAAAAAACATGTACAGCAGTAAATTCTAGTTTTGATGCAGTCAACATATATATATGTTGCAACATATATATATACAGTAGAGCGTCGATTTTCCGAATCAATTGGGGACTGGGGTTGTCCGGATAACTGATTTACGTACGAAAAAATAGTTTAATGTATCCGATGTCTAAATTTTTCTCCGTTGCGTGTCGCTTCGCGTTGAATTTTCGTCGATGTTAAGCCTAACAAAGACTATTGTATCTTTAAAAATTATTTTTTTATTTTGTATAAACAAAATAAATATATTGAAAAATATAAAAATAATAANACAGGGACAACATGTATTAATAGCTTTAATAGTATGCTTTGCATTTAGTTGTGTTCTTAGTACTGCATGTAATCTGTTCTGGTATTTGAGTGTTAATCTTTGTTTTATCTGTGCCTGTTTCATAAGTTTGGCCTGTTGGAATCCTAAATATTTGTAAAACTGGTCAGTCCTCTTCCATGGATTCCATAATATCTCCACTTTTGAGTACCAAAGTCTCCTTTCTTCAGAACTAATTATTATTGTTGTTGTCACAATATAGCTTGATCTTCATGCCAAATATCAGCTAAGAGGAAGTAAAGACACACTGAGTGCACTGTTAATGCCACAGTCTATGGGTCTTTACTTTCTCTTATTATTATTATGTTATCATATATATTTTATTATTATTATGTTGCAAATGTCATGCTCAACAAATACTGGTGCCAAGTGCTATGCCAGACTAAAGTCGAAGCATAGCTAGCTACCCAAACAAGTGTAACATTAAGCTGTGTTATTGGTATGTATCTCAGCATCTAGAAATGTGACATGTGTCCTATATTGCAGCTTTCTATAGTGCCATGTACATGTTTTTATTAAGGTTTAATGTTTCTAGACTTTTGTGTCGTGTATGTGGTATAATACCAGTAAAAGAGAGGACAACAGGTACAATAAATACCTAATCCATCCTCCACATCTTTCTTATTTCTTGAGTGAGTGGAGTGTACTTGTTGATTTTTTCAGTGTGAGCATTTTTTATGTTATCAGTGTTTGGAATGAAGATGTCTATTATATAAGTGATCTTACTGCATTTGTCAATGAAAATGATGTCAGGTTTATTGTAATGAATTGTTTTATCTGTGATTATGGCTCCATCAAAGTATATTTTGTGTGTTCCATTTTCTAATACTGCCTGGAGTATATCTGTAGTGAGATACCTGGATGTTTAATAATCTATGCTTCAGTGCAAGTTCTTGGTGTATTATATTTGCTACTTGATTATGCCTATGTAAATAGTATGTTTGTGCTAAAAGCTCACAACCACAGGTTATATGTTGTATTGTTTCTGGCAGAATGTGGCATTTTCTGCAAGAGTCATTTGTTAGTGATAGTTGGCATGAAGATCAAGCTATATTGTGACAACAACAATAATAATAAGTTCTGAAGAAAGGAGACTTTGATACTCAAAAGTGGAGATATTATGGCATCCATGGAAGAGGACTAGTTTTACAAATATTTAGGATTCCAACAGATCAAACTTATGAAACAGGCACAGATAAAACAAAGATTAACACTCAAATACCAGAACAGATTACATGCAGTACTAAGAACACAACTAAATGCAAAGCATACTATTAAAGCTATTAATACATATGTTGTCCCTGTACACTTATTCTTTTGGAGTTATACACTGAACATGCCTTCAGGATGTGTTTTCTGTAATTTTTAGTGTTTAGTGATCTTGAATGGCAACCATAAAACCCTCAGTCTTTCCAAACAGGCAGCCCTAGTCAACCAGTAGTTTGATGTAGTTTTGTCAACATAGTCCTGAGCTAGGTCATAGGCATGCCTGCCATAAAGTGCATTTTGGCCATGACTACTTAGTGGTGTCTATGTTATTTATGTGTTGAGCTATGTCCAGGTGCTCAGAGTGTAAGTTTAAAGGTGTGTGGTTATTGTCTATCAGAGTTATAGCTTTATGAAATCTTGATGTTTCTTGTTTTTTATGGTAAAACTTTCATAGTGTCAGAATTTGTTTGTAATGCAGGTTAACTATTAATATATTAGTCAGGTCATGGTCATCTTCTTTACAAGGAAGAGTTAGTATTTCTATGGATGATTTCAAGTAATATTATTTATGTTTAGTAATTGTTGTTCTTGCTTTCCTTTGGAGGTGCTCCAGATCTGTGTATAACTCCAAAAGAATAAGCAAATACAGGGACAACATGTATTAATAGCTTTAATAGTATGCTTTGCATTTAGTTGTGTTCTTAGTACTGCATGTAATCTGTTCTGGTATTTGAGTGTTAATCTTTGTTTTATCTGTGCCTGTTTCATAAGTTTGGCCTGTTGGAATCCTAAATATTTGTAAAACTGGTCAGTCCTCTTCCATGGATTCCATAATATCTCCACTTTTGAGTACCAAAGTCTCCTTTCTTCAGAACTAATTATTATTGTTGTTGTCACAATATAGCTTGATCTTCATGCCAAATATCAGCTAAGAGGAAGTAAAGACACACTGAGTGCACTGTTAATGCCACAGTCTATGGGTCTTTACTTTCTCTTATTATTATTATGTTATCATATATATTTTATTATAACAAAGTTCTTAAGTTATACCAAAAAAGTAACAATTTCAAATATATCTATATAAAATAAACTTAAGCACTGGTCCTTGAAGTCAGCATTTCTCAAACTTTTTAGTAAAGTGAAGCCCTTACAGTGAGGAAAATTCTTTTTGAGGAACCCTACAATTCATCTGTATCTTTTGCTACATATTTGTACAACAGACAGAGAAAGAACAAGGCTCTAATATTTTACTTTTTATTATTATTATTTTATTGAATGATTAAATTAAAAAATAAAAAATTGTTTATTAATAAACAATTATATATAACTTATTTTTTATCATTCAATGAAATGTCAGTTGTACACATGATACCTGATAAGAACAAATTGCAACTACCATGTTGAGGTTTATGCCAACTCAAATAAATAACTATTCACTTAAGAATAGTTATAAAATAAACAAATCACACATTTGAAATATAACTTTAAAATGTTTTAAAAGATTCCTAAAACCCTATAAATTCAGTTGTAGAATCGACTTTAGGAAATGCTGCTTTAAGTTTTTCATTAACTGTTCTTGCTTTTTTAATTTTACAATCCTAACTACCAGGTGATTCAAAAAGGTGCTACATGTTTGATCTCATGGTGTACTATACTATTTGATTTACAAGGAACTGATGAGTGGCATTTGAGAAGTCACCTTGAAATCACTGTTCCATGAACCATAAAGTCATGTACCCGAGTTACATTAACAATGCCTATGTCAGCATCCAAGATGCCACTAAGCATACAGTTGCAGCATGTTGCTTACAAAAAAAAACCCAGGAGAATGTGAGACTGAAAAAACCTGATTTCAATAGCACTTTTAACACTTGGTTTGCAAATGCTACTATTCTGTTCTAGTTAAATCAAATAGTGTCAGCATACAATCATGAAACATGTAGCCACTTTTCTGACTCATTCTGTACAATTTCTTGAAAAATTAAGCATATTTTTAAAAAATTTTTAAATTGTCTCTTAATATTTAATTATATCATTATATTGAAACAAAAAATATTTTCTTATAAGCATTCATAATAAATAATTTTAATAATAAACAAAGTTTTAATTGTCTAAGTGAAAGACATCATCAATACAAGCAGAATAGTAATTGCATGGCCTTAACAATCAGATTCTAGTCATATAATATTATATATTCTATGGAATCATTCTATAGATTTCCTAATAAATATTACAATAATTGAATTAATCCTGTAAAACATACATGCAAAGACTTCAGATCATTAGAATCAGTCTTTCCAGGAATTAAAATTTTTAGCATTTCTCCAAAAACTTCTATAGTCCCTTTCATTAATTCTAATTCACGTTTCAATTTTAACATTTCTTCATCTGAGAGAACAATCTTTTTTTGTTTCTCAGATAATGGTGAATTTAATCTCTCTGATGATTCCTGAAAATAAATATTTAAAAATATAATTAATGTAAATAATGATATATTTAAAAATTATGATTTAATAATTAAACATTAGTATAGAATGTATTATTTAACTACAATAAAAATAATTTTACAGGTGTTTTGCTTTAATAAATAGTTTAATTAAATATATCTATAATGTGAATTATTTTAAAAATTCAGAAATAACTGAATAATATTTAACTATTTAATCTTAATAATTACAATTATAAAACAATTTAAAATAAAAATAAATTCATTAATTTAAACATGAATCAATTTTTGTTGGGAATATGTTAAGATTATTAAATACTGTACCAGTACCATTTTAAAAAAATCCAGTAATGAGTAGTAAAAAGTTCCCAACAAAAGTTAAAACTGGGTATAGTACCATCTATTATACGATTTTATTTTAAAAACATTTTTATATTATTAATTATTATAAAATGGCAAAAAGCTTAATTTTGAGGGGTAGATAAAATTGATTAAAAAAATTGTAAAGGCTAATATATGTAAAATGTTAAAATGCCTAAAAGTTCAATGCCAGTGTGACACTTTTAACTTATTATAATACTTACTGTGAATATAATATTCTTTTCCATTTCAAAATCATCATATATGGGAAATTCAATGTTTTTTGTTTTTAATTCATTATAAACTGATACTACACCCTGAAGATCTATATTGTCTTGAAATGTATCTGCCCATATCTAATTAATTAAAAAATACAAACTTTAAAAAATTATTCTCATGTCAAAAAATTATTTACAAAAAATTATACTGTAATGAAATTTTTATTTTAATTATTAAAAGTCAAAAATAGTTAAGAGACATTAATTCGTTAATACCAGCCTAAATAATTGATTATTCTCCACTATTATTTCTTAACTACAGTACAAGAAAAAGGACAAATCCATTACTCTTTACAATCATCATTACTGCGCTTCATTTGTTTTCATTCATTGCCTGTGTTCTTTGTCTTGCCATAAGACACTAGCCAGACAAAGAACACGGGTTCTTTTGTTAGCTGTTTTTTATACCCCAAATCCCAAGATAATAGTGTTGCCAAAGCATACAAGCCCTGAGGTAGTTGCAAATACATAACAATTCTCCCATCTTAAATAGTTACAAAATTTTCAACATAGTTTGATTGACAGCATTCACTTATCTTTCACTGAGTGTTGATTCCATCAGTGTTGTTTGTTCTTCCAATTTACTGTTTGCATCATCAGAGTCTGTATCCTTTAGTAAGAAATAAAGATAGGTCTGTCCTTTGTATGTGCGAGGCCCTGAGCCAAGAAAAGCTTGGAGGTCCCTTAAGGAATTTGTAACAGAGAGTTAATGTTCATAAATTTTTTCAATTAGCTTTCTCTGCTAAACATATTGTTATATTTATGTTTAATAAAATTTATCAAACATATCTTTTGATCTTATTCTATTATTGTCAACTGGGACTTATTGTATTATTAGGACAATTACACTGGTGTACCAGTTATTTGCAAAAGGAGGAGTTCTTAATCAGAAAAACAAAAAATCTTTATTTTTCACCTGTTGTTTTCCCTGTACACATAATACACGTGATATTTGTGTTTCGGACCAATAGGTCCCTCTTCAGCAGGTTTACCACAACAATGTTCTAAAATAATGTATATAACAATTTAAAAAATTTTATATTACAATAATCTAAAAACCTGACAACAATATAGTAAAGATTTTTTGTAGTCGATTACATCAAAATATGCACAACACGTTTAGAAGAATCACCATTTTAACATTGCTTAAATACATATTTCTGTATTAAAAATTTTAAAAAAAGGTTTTAAAATTTACAAAATTATGTAGAAAATAGATTCAACTTAACTATCCTTGTTTACTTGAATGAATAAATTATTTTATACTGTATTCTAATTTATTCTCATTTCTTTCAATGGTTATATCTAAATAATTAATACTGTTATTCATTTCTTTTTCAATATCAAACTATATTTTTTCTATTAGGTTTGCTTGTTGTAAAATTAATTTTTCATTGATTTTTCTACTGTCAAATATAATGATACAATTGTATATATACCTATTGTAAAATTCAATTCCTATGTTTCTAATTTTTTCATTTATACATATCATGAATATGAATATTTCTGCCAATTTTGGAACTATGCATGTTCCTATTGGTATTCCATCGATTTTGGTGTAAACTTTTCATCATTCTGAAAATAATTATTTTTCATTACTAATAAACATAATTTAGTTATCCATTCTGGAGCATGTATTCTATTTAATGAATTTTCAATATTATCTCTAGTTATACTCGAATACATATTTTTGACATCTAAAGACATTAATTTCATATGTTTATTAATAACTATTTTTTCATTTTTTAATCTATTTAATAATTCATCTACGTTTTTAAGGCTATAATTAGAAGTTTGCAACAAATTTAACTTATTTTTCAAAAATTTTTCTAGATTATAAGAAACATAATTTTTAACATCTATTAAAGGTCTATACTTAACTGGATTTTTGTGTGTTTTCACTCTGATATTAAAGTTTGGTGTTCTATTTTCTATTTTCATTTTTTTAAATTCTTCATCCAGTATTAATCATTGTTTTTTCAATATTTCTAATTCCTTATTCAAAAGATTTGACATGTTTTTTCTTGGGTCGTTTTAGAAAGATGTTGTTAAGACAAAAAATGAAGCATTACCTTTCGTTTTCTTTTGTTCTTTTATTACTTAACTTTACTGACTAGCGGAACTTATTTACAACATTTCAAATTGACGAACCTCTGACGACAGAACACTTTTGCCAGTGTTGCCAGATATAGCTGTACAATAATTAACAATATAAATGTACAATAATTAACAGATGTAATTAAAGAATTAATACAAGAAAGAAGTTAAGATTTATTAAAAAAAGATCCAGCAACAGTTTTAACTGATTCTTTTTCTTCAGTATAAGATTGGAACAGGCAGCCATAAATCTTCAATGCATTTTAGCACAGTATTTGTACATCTGTGGATTTAGAACATGGGAATCATAAAACATATGTCAGACTATCATAGGATATTATGTTGCATAGAGGAACTGCAAATGCTCTATGGGCTTGTATGATCTGTATGTTCAGGAATGCCACTTGCAGAAAACATGGACAAAAGGGAAAAATATGAGTCAATAAAAAAGGGTTTTGGGTCAGTCTTTGTTATGCTATAAAATGAAAGAGTGGAGTGAGCTAGTAAAATTAAAACTACATTGTAAAGCAAATAGATTATTTACGAATAAATACTTGTGTAAAGAAATTTAGAGAGAACAGACATTATTCTTTGATATAAAAATATAAACATATTTTTTACATAACAAAATGGATGAAGCAGGCTATGTTAAACAAATATCTAAACTAAGGGGCTTAATCTCCTCCACTCACTCCACTTGTTTGCCTCACAGATTTATCCTCCTTATTCCCAATTTATATTAATAATAATAAAAATTTTGTGACCATTTATTGATTCCTGGTGCTGCTGTTTTTTTATTTTATTTTATTTTTTTGTGAGGAGAAAAGTGTCACGGCAATTTAAATTAAATATTTTATATATGAAGTAGATAACTAGATACCATATAAGCGTAATTCACTTAATGTAGCAGAACATTGTTAAATAAACATGGATTATTGAAAGAAAAGACATTATTCTCATATCTGTTTTTTTTTTATAATTCGTCCCTTGAAAAACTTCTTAACCAAATTCTACTGAATTTGTAATGGCATTCAAAGAAACTATTATAGTATATTAATAAAACAAGGAATATTTTTAAACAAGAAAAATTGTTATTATTTTTAAGCAGTTAAAATATAGATAATGATTTTATTTAACAAAATTCTTTAAATACAGTAAGTTAACAAGGGGGATGCATTCCTAGATGACAAAATGCTAAATGAAACAGTGTTAAATGAGGCCATTTTAACAGAGTAAATAGGGATAGGGGAACACACTACCAAAAAATAAACAAATTTTACTTTAATTTTAAGTTATTTTTATATTAATTTGTATAATAATATATGTTAAATAACACAAACAATGCACACAAAAATGTAAAGTTCATTTTTTGTGATGAAGGTCCTGATTTTATTGCAAAAAAACAAGAATTTAAGTCATGAAGTTTCACTACTACTCAGTTTCATTTGTCACTTTTTTCTTTCCTTAAGGAAATGTTGGTAGCAGAAGATTGCATCCAAAATGCCTCATTTTGCTTTTGCACTCCTTTCAAAATCTGTATCATTTGCTACAATTTGATCAACAATTATCTTACCAAACTTTTACTAATGAAATCTGTAGAGAATTTTTTGGGTTCTTCATTTTCAAAAGCTCTATTTTCCAGTTCTACATGAATTCCTTCTTCTGCCAGTTCTTGAAGGTTGTTGTTGGTAAGGCTCTCACCAAAAACCTGCAGTAACTACTCAGTATCCTGCTCATCTACATCTAGTCCTGTATCAATTAGGTTGACAATTTGGTCAACTTAACGATACAATGATAGGCTCTTCTCATTGAGAATTCTTGGATACATCTGGCCATAACTTTTTCCACACTTCGTTCGTGCATTTATTAGTTAATTCTTGCCAAGCGAAGCCAATATTGCCTATGGCATCACAGATGCCATAGGCAATATTGCACAATAACACAATAACACAAACAATGCACAAACAAAAATAATATTTTTTCCAAAATGGCACCAAAAACACATAGATTTAAAGAAAGTACACCTTTTTACCAACTTTTTGATTATTTCATGTTTGTATATAATTGTATTATATATGAATCAATGAAATGCTGCAATAATTTAAATTGGCGTAAAGTTTGAGCTTTTTTTTAGGCTTCAAGCAGATGGCATTATATCGAATCAGTATTAAGCGGGATCTTATTGTACTATTGCACAAGATATTTATCAGTTTGAAAAAAATCATCTAAAAAAATACCTGTATTAAATTCAAAACTTTTCGTTGTATTTCAGGACTGGGGTTATTTTTTGCAGAAATAAGCTTTACCAAATCCTGAATAAAATCTTTTTGCATGGCTAGAGAATGAAACTTTTTTCCACAATTTTTTACACAAGCTTCTAATACCTGGAAAAAATAATATTTTATTAAATTTAAACTACAATCTAAACCTTTTATCAGAAAATCAATACTTAAGTAAAACAACTCTGCAAAAATTTTAATTTTTGTATATATATTTGTTTAAAAACCAAAAACACTCAATGAGCAGAAACAATAACCAGAGTGCATTGTGGCTTACAGAAACAGCAAGAAGAAATTTTATGTCCTGACTACTTACAAAGAGCCACAATGCATTCTGGCATTTAAAAAAAATATGATGATGTAAAATTCATATTAGGACTGTTTAAAAAATATGATCAAATGTCATTTCTTGTTTATTCTGTAGTAGCAAATAGAGTTCAGGATATATAACTAAATATCTATAACAATCAAGAACAATGGCCAGTTATTTTTGCAGAAACTGTTAAAACACTTAAAATTACAATTGATATCTTTTGAATGACATTTGCACTTTTTATCATAACTGCGATTTACAAAGCCCTGCTTACTTCCAAACATTACATTTGAGGCTGACCAAAAAGATAGTGAACTTGAGGGCACATCACTTGTCAGATGAAGTTCTCAGTAGTTATAAACTCATTGAGAGCATAGAACTGCCAAAGGAGACCTTTTTTGGTATCCAACTGCTGAATGACCAATTTCTCTTTGAACAAACTTTGCTCTTCTTCCTCAATGAGGTTAAAATGGCAGATAGTTATATACATGTGTGATAAAAATGTTTTGTGATGTTTATGGAACATGTTAAGGTATGCAGATAATGTTGGAATGCATGGCAGTCATTTTCCTTAACAGTCCCAACACAAATTTCATAACATGGCATGCTAAAAAATGCCAAAACATGCTGTGGCTTTTTATAAGCAGCCAGGATACAAAATTTCTTATTGTGACTGTTTCAGTGAAGCCACATGTGCTCTTGTCATTTTTTTCCACTTACTGAACATTTTTGATCTTTCTACCTAATGTAGGGGCCGAGGGGGGAGAAATAAAAAAACTCGAACGATAATATGTGATATATATCGTCATCGTCTCCCTTGCCATTTAGACTGCCGAGCGGTAACAATCAACGACATGTGGAAGCAGTTGAGTCAGAGATAGATGCTTTGTTTACAAACAACACAACCGTTTATTAAACACAAAAGAAGCTTACAAGATTTCCGCGATCTTGGAAGTTCTGCGGCAGCTGCGGCCTCTGGGTCTTCCTCTCCTTTCCAAGATAGTCCCATTTTGAAGGAGTGTCCCTTGTTCGCAAATGAACCATTCCATCACGTCTCGGCGACTCTGAGACGATGCAGTCGACTTCCATTGATAGAAAGATGTCGATCGGAGGTCGGGAGATGGAGACGAAGATGGGTGCAAGACACACACACAACAACAGGTCCGTCACTTGGAACTTTCGGGAGAAGAAGCCATCGAGTCCTTGAATTTCCGGGGTTTTATCCATTTTCTCTCAGATTTCCCTTTCCAATTGGTCTCTCCTCGTCACCTGATGACAATTCAAAACCTTTCTGGGGCGCGGGAGAGGTCAAAATCGAAGTTTAATTTGATCTCCAACCGGAAACGGTCGACGGACTTACATTCTTCTATTGTTTAAAAATTAGCATCGCGTTTACATAAAATAAAAATCTATTTCTAACTACTATATATTTTTTCTTTAAAACAATTATTTTAACGCGAATTTTAGTGAGGGTTCAGACCTGTCCAGAGCCTCACAGAGCTCCCTGCCATTTTAAAATGTCGTAACGGAATAATGACATTTTAGCTGGCAGCTCTGAAAGCTGTAGTCCCTTCTCCCTTTGTTTGCCAAGTGAGGTAACAGTGACACTTGTCTGAGAATCCATTTTCCTCTGGCACGCGTTCGGTTTTGCGTTACAAAGTTCTTATTTTTAAAACATTATTTCAGAGGTATAGAAATCGTTTACAATTCATCGAAATGTTCGCGTAACATCACATGTCTGTTTATAAGATTGATTTTTAAGGAGTTTATAAGATTGAGTTTATAAGATTGATTACAAGATTAGCATCTATGTAAAATGAATAATAATCCAGTAAATGGATTATTATTCATTTTACATAGATGCTAAAAAATATTAGTTGGTCTTTATCTTAATATAATTTAACCATCAATCATAAGTAAATTTCAATCAAATCAATTATTATTGAGTTCTGATTCATTTTCAAGCCACATACATAGAAATTAGAATTAAGAAAGGAATTACAGTAATTATGCAGTTATAGAGCATTTATTGAAACCCAAATATCCAGAGTAATGTGGACTGATGCTACCTTAGATATCTGAAAACTTGAATAAAATGGATAGCCATGACTATTTCAGATTAAAAATTATTATGAATATGAGATTTAAGTCTCTTTTCTTCATGAATTTAATTATACATATTAAAAAAAAAAAAACATTTTTTTTAACATGATTTATTATACAGCTAATACATAGAATAGTTTTAAGAATAAAAATGTATATTATTGTAGTTAGATTTTAATATGAATGGTATGTCTCACTTTGAAGTTTAATGGTAAAAGGTAACAGAGAGAAATCATTTTTACATGTTATCATTTTAAACTTTCTTTTATGAAAAATGGATATATTCACTTAGAAGTTCACATTAAATAATGCAGAACCTTGTTAATTGGGCTCAAATAATCAGAATTCTATGTATTTAAAAATTTCTATGAAAACTTAACCAGTTATTTAAGTTTTAGGGCTTATCACACAGGGAATATGATACTACAAAAAATTTAATTTATTTTATATCTAAATTTACAAAAGAATAAAAGATTTTACAATGATTGAATCTAAAAGTATACAATACACCCAAAATACATTTCAGACTCTTTTGGAGTCCTTCAGTTGGTGATTTTAATAAAGATAATAAAAACAAAATGTACATAAAAGTTAAATTAAAAAGGTGTAAATAACTATGAAGACATCACAATTAAAGAAACCAATGTTATCTCCTATGTACTGTACAATAGACTCCATTTTTTTTCCTATGTTCTCTATAATCAATCCAGCCAAGGATAGCACCACACATAATAATAATAATTAATGCAAACTACATTTAGTATTATTCAATAAAACTTAGACATAAATTTGAATTAATTCTTAAATATTAATATAGACCAGAAATAATTTCAAACATCTTAAAGTTTTTTAAAAAGATTTATCTATTTCTTTGAAAATTAAATTAATTATTTGTATGTTTTTACTTTTCTGTTTTCTTGGATTCAAATGAATATTTTTCTTAACTCTGATTACTTTTGAGTCTCAACCTATCTCAGGATTAAGAAAGATATTCATTTGGTCTCCAAAAATGCAAAAAAGTGTAAATGCTCAAGTCTTTGGAGAAATAAACTTGTCAATGTTTGTATGTTGTTTGATATTTATTGTGAAAATAAAAAAATTTTAATAATATATAAATTATACATACTTTCAAAGTATACATAATAACTGAATTATTTCTTCCAGCATTTTGTTGTAAACGCTTCTTGATAGCTTTCAGAGCAGTTTTAGACCTAAATGTAAGTTAAAAATAATTCAACAATAATATTCATTTTATATAATTATCAAAACTTTTTTACCGATCAAAACATGAAATACAGTAGAGCAGTGGTTCCCAACCTTTTTTCATTAGCGTACCCCCATGGCATTTCCAACTTCCCAACGAGCAATGCATGCGCAAATCTCGCACTGCCTGTTTGTAGAGTGTGTCACCATTTTGAATTTTATTTTGACTCGGTTCTTGGTCCCCTGAGTAGCAACAAGTCTGGTTTTTTATGCGCGCATGATTTGGGCACATAATACTTTGTGCCAAATTGCAACTTCTGACACGTACTCCTTCATACCTCTAAGCTGGTAACACAGCAGGCAGTACGATTTTATAAACAAGACATAGTCTTGTCAATAAAAAATTAATAAAAATACTGAATGAATAATGAAAAAAAATTACCGCTTGTAGAGAAAATCTGGAGAAACTAGCAATGTCCTTTTCCTTGATAACAATAAAAAATACTTTTTATAAACAAAAGAATACTTTTTCAAACAACACATACGGATAATGTTGAGAGATAATAATAATAATGGTATTATTATTATTATCTCTCAACATTAGAGATAATAATAGATATATATAATATAATAAAAGATATATATGTTGAGAGATAATAATAATAATGGTATTATTATTATTATCTCTCAACATTAGAGATAATAATAGATATATATAATATAATAAAAGATATATATGTTGAGAGATAATAATAATAATGGTATTATTATTATTATCTCTCAACATCTCCCCACCATCAGAAGTCTGTAGCATAATCACTAAATCACACATAATAGTATCCCCACTGCCACTGACAGACTGCACAACATTTATTGTTCTGTTGCATTGTACAATCGGCAGCATAAGTTTTTATTTATATTTTTGCATTTTGAAATGTATAATAAAGTTTGTGATTGTTGCAAGGAACATTTTTTACCTAATAATTTTTTAATACTATTAATTTGTGATACATAATATATTATCTTTTCTGCCATAATAACTAACTTTTGCCTGTACCCCTAAACAACCTATCACATACCCAGGTTGGGAATCACTGCAGTAGAGCATCGATTATCAAATATCAATCAACTGAAACCTTTCCAGTCAGCATATTTAAATTTCTGCTAGTGCTGTGGCACTGCAATCTTTGGCTATTTCTTGGGCTACTCCAATATTATTTTTGTTGATGTGCATGCCTTAGTTAGCAGCATTGGCATGACCATGAGAGGGTACTTAAGGACATGCCAGGATTTGAATGAATTTCAACATGGGATAGGTTAATATATTTTTTCATACCTAATTGGTTATCCAAAAAATCAATTTTCCGAACAACCCCAATCCCCAATTGATTCGGATAATCGATGCTCTACTGTACCATTAAAATGAAAGTTTCTAAATATGAGACAACTACAAACTGTGCATCATTACACTTTGCTGCACTAAATATGGTTTAACTGAGACTCAATTGTTTTAGTGTTTGCAAGATGTTTTAAAATTCAGTTCTATCTTGTCTATACACAAGTGTTTTGATGGTTTAGTGCATTTCTACACAGTAGGACAACCCTCTAAGACCAGGTTAGAAGCAGTTGCCTTGCAACATCAATCCCAAAAATATATGTAAATATGTCAGACTATTGTAAGAGCAGATCCACCAGTAAAATATAGGAATATATGGTTTAATCTAGGTATTAGATCAGCAGTAATACAAATGAGATCTTATACAAAGAGCTTTTTATCAGGAAAGTATAATGTTGACAAGTTTTGCATTCCATGCCAGAGCAGATGAAGTTATATGGAATGATGCCATGACATGAGCCAAAAATTTGAAAATAGGCAGTCAAAGCATGTTTGAATGATTATATAAATGGTGACAAAACATATATAAATATTACTGGCAGCAATCAGTAATTTTGATGTTTCTGGATGAGCTATTTGTTACCCATGAAGGTAAAATATTCTTATAAAATGTTTTACCAATTGGTAGCCAAATTCATTAACTAAGTACTGAAGTTCAACCTTGTGTCTAGAAGATGAAAAGACTTGCCATCATGTCATTTGATACCAGTCATTGTCAAGAGAGAGGAGCTGGGGATTTCTTTCCAAATCCAGAAAAGCTTATGGGTCTGTATGATCTTATGAAATTAATCTTATTTTTACTAAAAAAAAAAAAAAAAAAAAAATCTTTAGGACTACTTTATATTAATAATGAAGCATTCTACATATTTCAAAAAAAAAATAGCAAGAGGAGTTCAATAAGGAGCAAAAGAGATTTGCTCAACCCCAGGTCCCATATTAATGCTCAATGGCTCTGAGCATGTTACCATTTGTTTAATACACTCTTCCACAATAATCTCAGAAACATTCAAAGACTAGACTTCAGTGTCTCCTACTTCACTTCAGTTCTACTTTACTAGTTACTTCACTATAATATTGCTTTTACACATACTTCAATGAGGACAATGGATTGTGGTGGTTCATAGTATTCCCTTCTTGACAGTAGAGGGAATACTATGTGAGGGACTCCTAGAAGCAGAACCTACTTCCTGGGGCTATAAATTAGGAGACACAAGAACTGCAATCCACTTTTTGGCTGGGTCCTTGTGATCACTCGTGGTCAGTGGCACACTGACCTCTATGTTCATACAGACTACCAATGTTACAATCTCATATTGTATGTAAATTTTTATAGAATAAAGAGAATATAACTGTACTTAAATTATCCAGAGGTTCCTCTACAATATATACTAGTCCACAGGATATTCTCAGTAACATATCCAGAGTTTTGAGAATATTAATGTAGCTTAAGGCAGATTCAGGAAGGATATTAAGACATGTAGATATCTTCTTATCATTTTTTGGAAAATGTTACTCAATTAGTTTAGAATTATTTTAGTTACCTAACTCTTTACATCATTCTTTTTTCATTTACTTTTTAAAATTGTTAAATAGAAGATGGAAAATGGATAAATAATAATTTTGAATTGATAGACTGATTATAAATTACACAAATTATATTATTGTTTACATTTGATGTAATTCCAAAAGGAGAAATGGAAAAGATATAAAAATCATTACATCTATTATTTTCACTATAAATTACTGAAATTACAGTTATTTTGAATTCATATATACCCAGGGTGGCCAAACTCCTTGATAGTCCGAGCCATTTTTTCAAAATTTGAAATTTTTCGCAAGCCGCAATTAAATACATATTAAAAAGGTATGCAAAAAATTACAAATTACAAATTATATCCTTAGCAAGAGTGATACAAATTGTTTCCTCCAGAGCACAATGTCAACTGTTCGTTGCAATGATAATTTACAAATTCAAAATCGGTCTGAAGTCGGTCGATAACGGATGATTACGCCACTGTTTATGTTTGTTCGCACAGTTTTCGATGAGTCATATCATTCTTAACTTGGACGGAAATGAAATTTGTTACAACGTTGCACTTAGTCTTTCATATTTGTTGTTAGTAATTTAAGACATTTTGAAACACATACAGAACGATAATAATTTTTTAAAAATATAATAACACAAAAATGAAAAGGGAACTCGGGTACATTTATCGATAGCCACAAATAATCCTTCAAAGAGCCGCATGTGGCTCGCAAGCCGCAGGTTGGCCACCCCTGATATATACCATAATTATCTTTAGTCTGTACTCCACACTTTTTGACAAGTATTTCCAAAAAATATTAGTTTAAATTTTTCTGCCTTTTTTTCTATTTGTATTATTTTCTGCCATTGAAGTCATGAGATATGCATTATTATAATTATTTTTATTTTAAAGAAACAAAACTAATTGAATGCTCTGATATCAACAGAGTACTGTAGCAGGATACAGAGTTCCTTATATAGGATGCCAAGCATCCTGGATATTCTAAATGAATTAAATGTGCAAGTAGAGATGAGACACAAATACCAACATATTTCAGCAAACAAACAATAAATTTAATGAAAATAACATTTTTGACTACTTTGAGTAATCATCTTTAGATTAACATACATTATAAATAGGAACAGTAGTTTGAACAAAATAAATAATTGAATTACTAAATTTTTGTATTCATTGACCAGAATAGCCATATAAAGATAAGACATTCAAACACCTAGCTACTTATTCTTTATATGTGCGAGTATCATCCACCATCCACCCTACAGTCCAGGTCTGGCATCTTGGATTGCTTTATATTCCCAAAAATCAAGAGCTGCTATGCAGACAATGTTTCAGAGTGCAGAAGAGAGGATTTCTGTTTATAGATAGCTTGTTTAAAGTTTTTCAGAAATCCAATGAAATGATTATATGTGGAGGCTTCAAAAAGTTGTGGAAAAAGTCTGTAACTAAAAATTGTTTGGAAGGATTTTGATTTCAACGCACCTGAACATTCATGTACCAACATGTTATAACATGTTCAAACAAGAACCCTTATTAAATGCAGGTAAGAATGCAGCACCGACAGTTGAAAGTCAGGCACCATTCAAACAACATGGAATCCATCAAAATCAAGACCAGAACAAATGTAATGTTCATGGTGAAACTTGGTTGGGAGAATAGACAAATCATTGATGCTCTGGAACAAGTTTATGGTTATAATGCTCCAAAGAAGTTGTGGGGGCTGAGGGAGGAGAAATAAAAAAAACTCAATGAATGATAATATGTGATATATATCATCATCGTCTCCCTTGCCATTTGGATTGCCGAGCGGTAACAATCAACAACATGTGGAAGCAGTTGAGTCAGAGATAGATGCTTCGTTTACAAACAACATAACTGTTTACTAAACACGAAAGAAGCTTACAAGATTTCCGTGATCTTGGAAGTTCTGTGGCGGCTGCGGCCTCTGGGTCTTCCTCTCCTTTCCAAGATAGTCCCATTTTGAAGGAGTGTCCCTTGTTCGCGAATAAACCATTCCATCACATCTCGACAACTCTGGTACGATGCGGTTGACTTCCATTGATGGAAAGATGTCGATCGGAGGTCGGGAGATGGAGACAAAGATGGGTGTGAGACACACACACACAACAACAGATCCGTCACTTGGAACTTTCAGGAGAAGAAGCTGTTGCGTCCTCGAATTTCCGGGGTTTTATCCGTTTTCTCTCAGATTCCCCTTTCTGATTGGTCTCTCCTCGTCACCTGATGACAATTCGAAACCTTTCGGGACGTGGGAGAGGTCAAAATCGAAGTTTAATTCGATCTCCAACCAGAAATGGTTGACGGACTTACATTCTTCTATTGTTTAAAAGTTAGTGTCACGTTTTCATAAAATAAAAATCTCTCTCTAACTATTATATACTTTTTCTCTAAAACAATTATTTTAACGTGAATTTTAGTGAGGGTTCAGACTTGTCCAGAGCCTCACAAAGTCAACAACCTACAAATGGATAAGTCGCTGAAAGGTCCAATTTTCTTTCAGTTGAAGATGTAAAAAGAGCTGCTCTGATATGGTTCAGATCACAAGACCTTCAGTTCTACTCAGACAGACTTAAAAACTGGTATCAACATTTGCAGAAGTGTATTGACCTTAATGGAGCATATGTTGAAAAATAAGCATCATAACTGAAATCATTTTTTCACACTATCCTTTTTCACAAACTTTTTGAAGCCGCTTGTATGGTTAGTTTGAGTATGAAATGATGCAATAAATGGAATAGGAAATACTTTGAGAAGTTATATCATGTGTAAAATATGTCTAATAGTTTACACACACTGGAAACTTTCATAGTTGCCATATGAATATTACATGCATAGATATTATTTAATTACAAAAAAAACTTTATTTTCTATTTGAAATTAAAAATTTACCATAATTTTATTAAAAATGTCAATCAAATTACAGAAAAACAGGGGAAAAAAATGCAAAATCCAGAAAACTTGTGCATTACTTGTAAAGTAGGTTATAACAAATAATTTTATTTTAAAAATAATAATGACCATACAAACAAATTTGGGTCTATTTAAATCTTTATCCTTTGTTTAAATGTGTTAAAAAAAGTGGTGTTTATATGCAATAGTGACCTGTGTGATATTGTGAAAACTTTCAGTACTGTTTGTCTTTGTCCAATCCTACAAGAAAAGGCCAGTGTCAAATGTATTAAGTATGAGTTTTTAATATCCTATTATTGGTCATTTTTAACAAAGACTGTATTTTTTATCTTCAAGTTGTTAACCATCTTTCTCTGGCTGGAACTTTAAAAAGAATAAATAGACACCAATTTGTTTATATGGTTATTATTATTTTCATTTAATATTCTGGAAAAACCATTTTATTTAAGTGTACTTCTATAGAAGTTAGCACCTTTTTTTAGTTGAAAAACAATTTTACTGAAATGTTTTCTAAATTAATTAATTTTATTTTATTCTAATTTGAGTTAAAGACATTTATTTATTTAAGATAATTTATTGATTAAAGTTGTTACTGGCATCTATTAATTGGCTTAAATTTTGATTTTTATAATTTATTTTGATCATTAAAACTGCAAATAAAAAATAAAAACATATTTCTATTATTTTGTTCAGTAATAATCATCATCATAATATTTTAATCAACCAAACATTATGATTGAAGAAAATTAAAAGTGGAAAAAGGATGAAATTTTCCTATCTTAAGCAAGCTAATATAGCTGCATTCAATATAAATTTTAAAAGTACTTTTTTAAGTAGGAATTTCTACATTTTCAGAAAAAGAAATTACACTAGATATTTCATGAATAATGTTAGAACTCTAGGAAAATAATTTCTGTAAAGTAAAATATTTGATAACATATGCCTATTAATTAATGTTCATATGTATAATAGCAAATTATGCATATATCAAATGTAAATGCATAACAATTAATAAAGAAATTATAAAATTTACATACCCATCTTCCCTTGAATTTACCATATCACAGATCTCCATAATTAACTTCCAGTTTTCTGAAGATAAACTTTTACTTGTAGCTTTTTCTGGAATGAAGAAAATTAATTTTTCTCAAAAATTTAATTAATAGATTTAATATCTACAGATATGAAAAATAGAATAATTGGCAGAAGTAACGTTATCAAGAAACAGAAAGAACAATTTTATAAGATAACAGATACTTTACTTATCTAGTGGATAGAATAATGTTCATGAATTTTATCCCATATTTTCTAAACAAATGTGACCAGAAATTTTTTGACTCAAAAGAGTATACAGAGGTGGTGACATAAAATGTAGTATTAATAGAGGTTAAGTTGGTCTGAGTGTACACAACTTAGTTCAGAACAACTAAACTTTATTTTCTGAATACTACAATACATGGTTAGTTAACAATCTTAAAAAGTGTGCCACCACAATAGTAAATATAAGATTATCATAAGATAGGAAATCTTGATAACTGCTACACTAAAAGCCTTTGAAGCAGGATAAAGATTTAAATTAGTTATGCATACAACATAAAAATCACCCTTGCGAGAATAACTATTTTTTCAAATGCCTGGCTATTTGGCACTTTTCCTGCAACACTGCCTTAATCTGAAGAAATACTGTAAATTGAAATACACAATAACACAATTCCAAAAGTCAACAAAACAACACTTCAATATTTATCTGTTTCACAGCAACAACAGCAAAAAGAAAATCCACTGGATCTGTGATTTTTCCATGCATTTGGTGATTGAGTGATTTTTAAGAAATAAAACAATTTTAAATAGCTTTTCTGAAAATAAGAAATAGCATAATTATAAGGAATAATTTTTAAAGCAATTTAATGTTTAAGTGATAAATGTATAATTTGAATTTTGGTGAGGAAAAAAGAGTAAAGAGTTCATGGATTCCTAAAAAAGTATATCTGGTCACTATCTACACCAAAACAATTTTTGTGTCTTTTTTATTATAGCTGTTTTAACAGGAAAGAGGAAATCATATTAACATTAAATTGTAATAGTATGGTTATCTACAATATACAGTGGTTCTTCATATAACGTACTTAATCCATTCCAGGTGCATGTCCGTTAAGTGAATAGTCCATTATATGAAATGCATTTTCCCATAGAAATACATGTTAAAACATATAATTCATTCCGCAGCATAAAATAACAGTACTGTACCATAAAAAAAATGCAAATGGAGCAGTCACCAATTATGCCGGGTAGTCAGATGTTGTGAGGAGGAGGTGGAGGTGGAGGAAAACTTTCTTTACACATTCATACAGATACAGACATTTTACACATTGCAGCAGGCCTCTTTTTATTGTTTTTTAATTGGAGTCAGATTCAGGAGAGGCTTCCAGAGCTTGCAGGGTCAACTCCTCTTGTTCCATCCTTTGTTTTTTGGCAGCTTGCTTCTTGAAGAACATGTCCAAGGTGGTCTGTTTCTCTCTCTTCTTCAACACCTGTCGGAAATGACGGGCAAGAGTGTCATTGTAGAGATCATTGACCCTGTTGGCCTCAGCTGTGTTTGGATAATGAGTTTTGGTAAACTCCTTAACCTCTCCCCATTTGACAAGGAAGTTTTTGTCAACTTTCACTCCTTCTGATGATGTCTTGCTTTGTTTCAATTGAAATCACCTTTCTGTTTTTACTTGCACAGCTTGGGTTTCTCTGATTAGATTTAGAAAGGTCAGTTTTATCTCAGAAAAACTTTTCTTCTTCACAAAATATTATTATAAAAATATGTGGGTTCAAACAATGATATGTAGTATTGAAAAATTTTCTGTTTTTGTTTATATCTTTACTATGTCCAATGGCATTGGATCCTTATTATAACTTACAGTGGTGCCTCATATAACGTATGCCTCAAATAATGGATGCTGCAAACAACAGACTTTCTGTTTGGCCGTTACATTACTCGAGCAATGGACTGGCTGTGAACAACGGACTTTCCGTTCAGCAGTTATGTGAGGCAAACAACGGTCTTTCTGCAAACAAGTGTGAATGATGTTTCCACTCTTTTGCCATTGCCAATGACAATCTGCTAATTTTATAATATATTATTAGTATATCTGAAGTACAGAGCTCCTGTTGGGATTTGACTTGCTCCCTTGTTTATTACATACATCACCTCAGTGCAGGGTATTTACATTTATTCAAGTGTTGTGTAAATAATGGCTTCTAAAATTTGCACAACACTTGAATAAATGTAAATACCCTGCACTGAGGTGATGTATGTAATAAACAAGGAAGCAAGCCAAATCCCAACGGGAGCTCTGTACTTCAGATATACTAATAATATATTATAAAATAAGCAGATTGTCATTGGCAATGGCAAAAGAATGGAAACATCATTCACACTTGTTTGCAGAAAGACCGTTGTTTGCCTCACATAACTGCTGAACGGAAAGTCCGTTGTTCACAGCCAGTCCNTATTATAAAAATAGCAGATTGTCATTGGCAATGGCAAAAGAATGGAAACATCATTCACACTTGTTTGCAGAAAGACCGTTGTTTGCCTCACATAACTGCTGAACGGAAAGTCCGTTGTTCACAGCCAGTCCATTGCTCGAGTAATGTAACGGCCAAACAGAAAGTCTGTTGTTCGCAGCATCCATTATTCGAGGCATACGTTATATGAGGCACCACTGTAAGTTATAATAAGGATCCAATGCCATTGGACATAGTAAAGATATAAACAAAAACAGAAAAATTTTCAATACTACATATCATTGTTTGAACCCACATATTTCTAATATTTTGTGAAGACGAAAAGTTTTTCTGATATAAAACTGACCATTTCTAAATCTAATCAGAGAAACGCAAGCTGCGCAAGAAATAATTTCATAAATTTCCTCTAAATTTAAAATTTAAATCTTGCCTGATTAAAAATATTAATCATAAAATTTAAATGCAAGGTAGTCAGTTTCATTTCAGAAAAACTTTACAAAATAGCAACATTTAGTTTAAATTGTGATATGCAAAATATTCTGGAAGCAAAAATGAATTTTTTTTTAACCTATGGCATTGAGTCCTTTGGCACTCTTCAGTTTTGTATGATACTCACAAATAGAGATAAATGGATAAATTTAAATATTCCAAATTTAAATTATGTAATTATAGGAGATGATGCTTCACCCATACTTCAATTCTATTACTATGGATGTATACATTGTCTCTGAGTATGTGATGCCATACTTCATCAATAAACAATGTTTTCTTGAATTCATCAGTGAGTACAAATGCAGATTTGAATGAGATGTTCAGGACCTTATCAGAGCTCAAAGGAGTAAAAAATGTCAAAGGAACAGATGGTCTACATGTGAATCTTCACAAGATATAGTCCCCTGAAATTAGCCTATGTGAAGTGAAATTTTGAAGACCCTCAAAAATGGAGTAAAATTTAAAAGTGAAAAAAATCCAGAACTATTTCTCAAAACGATACTAAAAAAAATCAACTGTTTTCCACTTTACTAGACAACTAAAAGCTTATAAAACATGAGAAATTCCATGGCACTGATTATTAACAGAGGACCAGTCATGCTGTGTCCTCTGTTAAGCTTGTTGTGTTTTCAAGCAGCTCGATATTTCAAAGGGCTATCTATATCTCTCAAAAGATCACATACAGGCTATCAGTTCCTTTTATATTTTTACTCCTATGGTCATGATCTACAGCTCTGATAAGGTTCCAACCATCTAATTCAGAGCTGCATTTGTACGCTTTGATGAAGCCCAAGAAATGTCATGATGAGCACTACTAATTAAAAACAGGAATAGAAACAGCTGAATGTGATAATACAATTCAATAAACATGTCTGACTCGAGTACATACAATTGTATCTTATAGTGCAATAATTGCAGATTAATTGCAATGCAAAGCTCTGAACACAAGGAGTTCAAAATTCCAAATTTCCACAAATTCCCTACTTGTCAAATGCAGATATTTCATGGAATCAGCCATATTGCTCACCACTAAGTACCAACTTTACAGATTGGCAAGCTCAATGCAATACCAGCGCAAACTAGTCACGTTTATGGCAGCTCCACGATTCGGTATTCATTGAATGCTAAATAATTGCACCAAAATATTTGTTGAAGTGTGTATCCTGTGACCACATGTATACACAATTATTTTTGTGGAGTATTGGTTCATTTTCTAGATCTTGGACAAATGTTTGTCCAAGATCTAAAAATGGACAATTCTCAAAAAATAATTTATGCCATTGGTTTTGTAGTTATGAGTAGTTCCTATCTAGTGTTGCCACCTTTTCAGAATTGCTGACCCAGATGGCAAAGTGAGATTTGTTCAAACAGAAGTCCCTGATGCATGCGCAATGTTACTTTACCATGCAAAGAATAACGTGTATGCCAGCTATAAAGCAATTAGGGAATTGTGTAGGAGCAACTTAAATTAAGAGATAAACTATCTCCTGCAAAGAGCTGAGAAAGTAAAAGAAAAAAAAAAAAAAAAATTAGGTCAACAGGCAGGTGTCATGCGTATTAGGTCAGTATAAGATAACAGCAAACTTAACCTTCCATGTGTGAAGCGTTTTGCTGTTAAATTAAAGAAATTTCTAAAAATATTTGCCTAGCTAGCCCGGCAGAGGTCGCATCACTTGACAATCTACAGGGGTGCTGCATGTCACCTCGACCCGCATTTTAAATATTAATTTCTCTCTTAACAGTTCAACGTTTTTCACTTTTTTCTTTTAAATATTATTTTCCATTCTGTTTAGTAATTTAATAAATATATATGTTTACTTTGTTAGCCTTAGTTAGTTATTTATTAACATTTGAATTTACATGTTAAATTTTTAGGAAATTTTTATAAGTAACTGAAAAATTCTAACTATTTAAAAAAACATGAAACAATTAGTGTAGTAATTTAATAAATATATATGTTTACTTTGCTAACCTTAGTTAATTATTTATTAACATTTGAATTTAGATGTTAAATTTTTATAAGTAACTGAAAAATTCTAACTATTTAAAAAAACATGAGACAATTAGTGGTGATAAAAAATTATTTTTATTGTAGAAAAGGTATGTCACTTCATGATTTAAAAAAATTATATTTATGCCTGTTTTAGGCAGTCATAACATGTGAGTTTTCCATGTTTTCCACAAATTGGAGTTTCACAAATCGCACAGTAATTGGAAGTCTTATTTCTAGTCCTTGGGCATTTTCCACACNGGAAATTTTTATAAGTAACTGAAAAATTCTAACTATTTAAAAAAACATGAAACAATTAGTGATGATAAAAAATTATTTTTATTGTAGAAAAGGTGTCACTTCATAATTTTAAAAAATTATATTTATGCCTGTTTTAGGCAGTCATAACATGTGAGTTTTCCATGCTTTCCACAAATTGGAGTTTCACAAATCGCACAGTAGTTGGAAGTCTTATTTCCATTCCTTGGGCATTTTCCACACCTTTTTCTTTTATTTGGAGATTCTACATTTTTTTCTGTATTTTCAGGATTGTCATCTGGTTCTTTTATAAGTTCTAGTATGTCACTTTTTAGCTTTCTGCACAGATGTGGCGTTTTGAGACGGCGTTTTATGTAGGGCTTTACCAGACCTAAAGCTATCTCCTTCAAGAACTTTCTCCGTATAATAGGGCGGCATTCGAGATTTTTGTTACATGCAACTATAATAAGCGCATTTATTGCTGCTATGTTCAACATGTTATAGAATACTGTCAGTGGCCATCTCTGACTTTTTCTTGCAACAGAGTAGTTGCCTGACATTTGATCAACTGTGTCTACTCCACCCTTTGTTGCATTATAAAATGTTATAGCTTCGGGTTTTTTCTTATTGCCTGTTTCTGGGTCAATTGCATCGCTTTGATGCAGTGTTGACAACAATAAGACAACTTTTCTTTTTTTAGGCACATATGAAACCAGAGTTGCATAGTCTTTTCCGAATCCAAAAAGTGAAGAATACTCTTCTCTACCACTGGTGATAAGAAAACATACAGGCAACTCACGTTTGTTTTTTCTTATTGTTCCAACTGTTGTGAGGTTGTGCTGACACAGGAGTTCTCGAGATAACGGAACACTTGTGAACCAATTGTCATACGTTACATTACGTCCACTACCTGAGATTGGTTGTATCAGACGTTTCACAATGGCAGAAGGAGTTTGATCAATACTAAATGGACCATCAGGTTGTTTTCCTAAATAAACTTCCATATTTAGTATGTAGTAGGTTCTAGCATCTACTAGCGAAAACACCTTTATTCCGTATTTAGCAGGCTTGCTTTTCATAAACTGACGAAATGGGCATCTGCCATGAAAACTCCACAACATTTCGTCAATTGTTGTGTACTCACTTATACAGAAATTTTTTTTACAGTTTTCTACCAAAAGTTCAAATATTTCTCTCACAGGAGCAAATTTATCAAGTGCAATCCTTACTTGACGATCTCTCTTGTCATCAAAGCACAACATCCTCAACAAAAATCTGAATCGCTGTTGATTCATTGTTGTACGAAAAATGGAAACTCCTGTGCCATCATTGTTCCACAATTCGTCAGTATGTATGTGTGATGATTTCAATACACCGGAAAGATATAAAAGTCCCAGAAGAGCTTTTATCTCCACCAAATCTGTAGGTTTTGCATCTCTTTCACGAGTATACTTCGATTTAATAATTTCTACATTGATGTTAGTATAGTCCACTATCTTTTGTAAAATAGCATCAGGAAAAAAGCACTGCCAGGCATCCAGAGGTGTGTTAGCATTTCTTGCTTCACTTCTACAACCTGGAAGATGAGTGACAATGCTGTGACTTCGAGTGCGCACAGACTTAAATTGTTTTATCTTCTTCCATTTCGTACCATCTTTTCCTGTGTAGAAATTTCCATCGTGTGAGAGAATGTCATCTTCATCATCATCACTTTGTGATGTATCAGTATCAAACTGTACATTATCCCCATTTTCTTCCTCTGCATCAACAGTACTTCCAGCATCACTCTCCTCATCACCTAAGTAGTCATCTTCGTCTTCTGACAAAGTTTCGTTTAGCATAGCATGTATTCTATCTATCTCTTTCTGATCCATTCTATACACTATACACTCATACACAAGAAGACCATGAAACACGCCTGCAAACAACGATTACAAACTGTCGTTTGACTATAATACAGTAGAGAGAACTTGTGCTGATTAGGGGGTACGGCTATTTGAGAGGTTTCCTTCCATAAAATTAACTAAATCTAGACTAATTTCACTCGAATATTTCAAAAACACGTATAATTTTTTGGAATAACCCATATAAAATATGTTATAAACAAAAAATTGGGTTAATGTCCAGGGTCGTAGACCATCATGGCGGCTCTTCCTATTTTAGCCTCGAAACCGGACCGCTTTGGAGACGTCGTGTCACGTGACGACGCGAGCGAACGGCGGCGGCTGCTGCGCCGCGGCAGCGCCGGCGCTGATTACAGCAAACAAAAGCAAACAGTGGGAACGCACGTTCTAACCTAACCTAACCTANCGACGCGCGGGTTAACGTCCATATACGTAGACTCATGGCGGCTCATCTCTGATTCCGCAAAAAGAAAAGGAAACAGTGGGGACGCACGTTCTAACCTAACCTAACCTATTCTAATAATATAATTGGTAATAATTATGATAATTTCTCAGAATAGGTTAGGTTAGGTTAGAACGTGCGTCCCCACTGTTTCCTTTTCTTTTTGCGGAATCAGAGATGAGCCGCCATGAGTCTACGTATATGGACGTTAACCCGCGCGTCGGTTTTCTCCGTTTATCGCGGCGCTGCTCGCGTCGTCACGTGACACGTCGTCTCCAAAGCGGTCCGGTTTCGAGGCTAAAACAGGAAGAGCCGCCATGATGGTCTACGACCCTGAACATTAACCAAAAATTGTCGGAATACTTACCAAGTGTAGCCCGTTCGAAGACGCCATTGTTTAAGCTTCTTTTCGTCGCGGAGCGGTACATTCTACGTACACGTCCGCTTCCAATGTGTCGGTGCTATTCGGTCACGTGACTACTCATCTCCGACGTGTTCCTGATAACTTATTCTTTTCGCGAAGAATTCGCTGAACTTTAGAGACATCATTAACAGAAATATTAAAACTTCATTCCATTCTAAATATGGATTAAAATCAACATATAATAACGTATGATAATGCGATAAATAATTAATAATTCTGTTCTACTTTTAAATGGTCTAATCTCTCATGTCGTAAACAAAATTGTATAATATTTATTTACATCAAGACATTAGACATCTTATGTTGCATCTGATTAATATTTATCATCATCATAATATATATCATGATAGAATTATTGTCGTTAGCAAGCGGTTTTTCCTTTATTGCTTCATATAGTCAATAATAATAATAATAAGTCGTTTCTAATTACAATAAAAATCTATAGTATATTATGATCTATCACATGATGTCTCTAAAGTTCAGCGAATTCTTCGCTAAAAAGAATAAGAGTAGTCGCGTGACCGAATAGCACCGACAAATGTCACGTGACACGCTTCGTACGCGTCCGCCGTCCGATGTGACGCTCCGCGACGAAAACAAGCTTAAGCAATGGTGTGTTCGAACGGGTACACTCGATAAGTATTCCGACAATTTTTTGGTCATAGCATATTTTATATGGATCATTTCCAACAAATTATACGTGTTTTGGAAATATTCGAGTGAAATTAGTCTAGATTTAGTTAATTTTATGGAAGAAAACCTCTTAAATAGCCGTACCCCCTAATCAGCACAAGTGCCCAGTACAGCGTCGTTTATCCGAATCAATTGGGGTTGTTCGGATAACCGATTGTGTACGAGAAAAATTTCCCAATAAAATCTATATACTATAGATTTTTATTGAAATTTTTCTCCGTTGCGTGTCGCTTCGCGTTGAATTTCGTCGATGTTAAGCCTAACGTAAACTTTTTAAAATAATAATCGTGGCTATTGTATCGTTAAAAATTATTTCTTTATTTTGCACAAACAAAATAAATATATTGAAAAATATAAAAACCAAAAAAAAATTATACTTCAGAAGTTGATCTAGTATCAAAAACGTTCGATTCAACACGACACACAGTCCTCAGAAAAACACCACACAAAAATGCCATGCTGCCAGCTAAAACACACACACCAACAAAAAAAATATTGGGGTAGCCCAAGATATAGCCAAAGATTACAGCTCCACAGCACTAGCGAAAATTTAAATTTGCCGACTGGAATGTTTTCGGTTAACCGACGTTTCGGATAAACGACGCTCTACTGCATAGCAGTAAAATTTACACAAATGAAAAGGATCGCTTTAGGGTTTGACAAATCAACAAAAATGGTTTCCTTTCAATGCATTCAATGAAACTAATATGTTCCTAGAAACACTAAACTACTTGCAGGTGATCACTAACGGTTTGGCGATTGAAAATAGACAAAATGTGGGTCATGATGACCCATCACCTCTTACAAACATTACAAATTTACGCAGAAGTCAAGGGTCGCTATGGGTCACCATGACTCCAAAAAGCCATTATCTCTCAACGCATTCTGCGAAACTGAGTAACGGCCATACATTTCTATAATAACAAATTCCAAAGAATATAGAAAGCTACTGTGAGTCACATCAGTAAAACATAATTATTAACGATTCAGCAAATCATAATAAAAGGTGTGCGGGTCAGAGTGGGACATGCGACCCCTTCCGGGCTAGCTAGTACTTAGTTTCATCATAATATCATTGTTACGAAATCCCGGACAAAATTAATAGTTAACCCGGACAATGAATTGAAACCGGACGGGTGGTAACGCTATTCCTATCCATTAATGAAAAATAAGCAAACCAGTTTGGCTTATATATTTCATCTCTCCCTAACATTCCGCTTAACTTTGTTTTAACTAAAGTGACCGGATTTTCTGAACTTTAACCCGGGATGCCTTAAAAATTGAAGATAGGGAATATAGGGTGTGAGGTTGTTACATAAATGATTTCGTTTAATATTACTGTCAATATCAACTAATAAATAGTACATGCACATGTTATTTTATGGCAGCACCACCTCAGTGTTCTTTTTTGAACGAAAGTTTAAATTATTTAAAACATGTATTAAAATTTGCTTATTTCTTTAGATTTTAAAATAATATATAAATTCATAAAGGTAAAAAAATAAAAAAAGTTTTGGGAGAGTTATAATTTTTTAAAATTTGCGCGAGAACTAACTCGCGCTACAGGCGAGTTTGCGATGTATGATTTTACTTATATAATCAAACCTGTCTATAACGGAACCTATATATAGCGAAAACCTGTCACTAACGGAAAATTTCTTCGGTCCCTTGAATTTTTTGCAAAAAGTAATGTAAATTAACCTGTATATAGCAGAACCTGTACAACGCGGAAACGGAAAGGAAAATCGGGCTGTAAATGGAAAAATCGGTATCTTTATCCGATTTACCACAAATTTAACAAGAAGTTTACAAGCCTAGCATGTATAATTCATTAAAACAAATAAAAAAATACACATACCCAATACAAAATAACAAAATGTGACTACTGTATTAGTGATTTTATTGGGATTTGAACGGAAAGTTTTTGCGTATTTTTTTAACAGCTGTTTTAACTTAAATAAATATGTGATGTAATTATAAGTTCTGAAATTTAACACATTATTCCTTTAAGTCAAAACATTGAAGTCTATACCACGTGTTGGGGAAAATTGCCACACTTTAGAATCTATTTTTCTCATCTAAATTTAGATTGTTTTGTTTTCCCCTAGATTTGATATTTAGGCAATTAGACAAGTGATATAAATCTCGAATTTAGCTATTTTTTAGAGTTTATTTTATTACTATAAAGAAGGTAAAATCAGAGTTTAAAGTGATAAGTGTAATACTTAACTCTCAATATAACAATATTCTTATAATCTAAGGACGAGCCGGGTCTTGAAGGGCTTTACTGTCAGCCGTATGATTATTTGTAATGTACTGTACTCATGTCAGTCTGATCCGTACCGTACGTTGTTGATTTTTTTCGGATAGTGTTTTTTTCTTTTGCATAATATAAGTAGTGTTCTTCTGTTTTTATTATGGTTATAGCTTGTTTGTGAAAATTAGTGTTGCCACGTTTTCAAAATCGCTGACACGGACGGCAGGTGAGGTTTGTTCGAACAGAAGTTTCTGACGCATGCGTAATGTCATTTTGCAATGCGAAGAATAACGTGCAATGCATGCCGGTTCTAAATCAGTTACAGTTAGGGACTAGGGAGACTTGGGTAAAAGTAACGTAAGTAACCTAAATTAAGAAAGAACAACTACAGATGACTTAGCTCTATTGGATATTGGAGATGTATATGAATACGAATCCTACAAGCAAAAAAAAAAAAAAAAGGCCGACGGGTTGCACACGATATTCCCGGACAAAATTAATTTAATAGTTCACTCGGACAGTGAGTCGATTCCCGGACTGTCCGGGTGAAAACCGGACGGGTGGTAACACTAGTGAACATTTTTATTTCAACTTGTGAAAATATTTACAATGAAAAACTATTATACATTTTGACCTTTGTCATGTTATGAACCACATTGTTGAAGTTAAATCCTTCTAAGTGGTAATAAGGAGCTAATAATTGTGGGAAATGGAGAAGTGTTGCATTTGCCCATCAAAAACAGAGAAATAAAACATGCCAGTTATTCAGACTGATATGAAGACACTGCACCATTAGTATGTGTGTAACATCAACCTTAGAACTGAAGCCGTGAGCATGAAGAGGGTTTGGAAAATTACCAATCTGAAATGCATTGTTAAATAAGCGAAATAAAGTGAACTGTTTTAATCTTGATCTCTGTTAATTGCGGATAATTAAGAAAGACGTGATAAATATCATTAGTCTCGCTTTTACTTATAACTTTTTATATTTTAATTATTATCGAATGGCAAAAAGCTTAATTTTGTGTAATGATGAATTTTATACAAAAAATTGTAAATGTTAATAACGAATAACATCTTCATTAAATCCGATTTCTCTAGAGATATGACACATGACAACCCTCTATCTCCCCATCCCTTTATCCTTTAACCACCAAAATTTAATAGCATAAATGTTCCCTATACACAAACTATCGTGCCATATTTTCTTTCCTATAGACGCCAACACACAAACCTGGAATATTTTTTCCTTTTTTTTTTTTTTTTTTTTACTTTTTGGGTTCGGGAAGTCTCAAAATGTGAAGATTTGCGAAAAATTCTGAGAGTCAAATTTGAAATGATTTCAGTGCTTTCCCTTGTTATGTATATATGTATGTATACAACAGCAGGGAGAGTAAAATTAAGAATGTTTAGAAATGCATTTAACTTATTGCTACTAAATATTTTGTCTTGTTCTTTACTTTTAAAATTAACAAGTAAAACGGCAAAACCGTATTTGGGACAAGACTATGTCTCGGGGAGACTCACTACTAAGCGGATTCACTTTGACGCTCAAGGCAGGTCTCGTTCTCATTCTCCAATCTAAAATCTTTGGTATCGCTGCTTTTGGGCGCGATCGTTCAAACTTCGCCGGCCACGACCACGGGGTCGTCCACGATGCATTTTCGATGAAATTAACCTATCCAATTTTGAATTTTCTCGCCGTTGCGTGTCAGCCCGGGTTGAATTTTTGCCGATGCGTAACGAAAATTTCCCGTTTTTGAAAAAAATAATCGTGGCTAATAATTGTATCGTCCGAATTTTTTTTTAATTTTGCACAAAAATATACAGTTTAACCAGATTATAACGTCATTGGATGTAACGACAACCCTAATATAACGTCAAATTTTTATCGGCCCGCGATTTTACTATACTAAATATGTTAAAAAACCTACTTGTAACGACACCCTGTTTTAATTAATGTCATTTTGAAGCACTCCTAAATTTACATAATTAGATTACAAATTTTATTTAATATAAAAGAAACTACGTGTTCGGTCCTAAGGTCAGAGTTCACTTCTTAGAATGACTGTGGGTGGTACTCTCCCCCACCTGACTTCGGTGGAGTGAGGTGCCTGTTTTGCCTGTTTGTAGAAGAGGGTCGCCATTTTGGATTTTATTTTGACTCGGTTCTCGGTCCCCTGACTACATACGAGTCTGGATTTTTTATGCGCAAATGATTTGGCACCTAATACTTTGTGCCAAATATCAACTCTCGACATGTACTCCTTCATACCTCTAAGATGGTAATATTGACCGGCAGTACGATTTTATAAACAAGACATAGTCTTGTCAAAAATAAAACTGAGTAGAGGGTCATTTTGACTCGCACCATCTCAGCGTGAGGTTAAAACACTTGTTTTTCTTTCACACAACGAGTTAGAATATTGTAGCTTGTTGCTTTACACAACACAAATGTCACGCTTTCTTGATTAAAAGGAAAATGGCGGATGTGTATTCAATTTTATTTCAACATGGCGTCGCTACAGCCACTCTATTTAGTATATTCTAGCTCGTTGGTTGTAACCGTAGAGTAACAACCAACGACTAGAATGTCTCGTTGGTTTCTGTCTCGGTACCGATCGCACCCACATACGACTCTACGATCCTTGTCATTCTTGACCATCGCGTCCCTGTCGAAAACCTTACATAGTTAATGCTTAAGTGTAGGATTTGGGTAACAGCACTATGCTTAACTGCACCTCTACATAAGAGTGAGATTATGCAGACGCGGCGAGCGAGAATATGTGGCGAGACGCGATAAATATGTGCGAGAACCAGAAATTCACTTCCGCCAGCGATATTTCTCGCTTGTGCATGGTTTTCCTTTGCGAGAACTATATCGCTCGTTACTAAATTCGCGTCTGCATAGTCGCTCCCTAATATTGTGGTAATTTACTAGGATGGAATATTCTATATTTAGTAAATGTTACAAGAGAATTCTACGAAACAATTTTTAAGAAATTAAATCTTTTTAATTTTTTAAAATTTTTAATATGAACTATTTACTTATAAATAAAAACGGATGATCCGGGACAATTTATTCAAAACTGGGACTGTCCCGGTAATTCGGAACATCTAGTCACTTTATTATAACACATTCTAAACGATGTCATTTTAATCAGTCATTTTTTTACTTTAATGAGACAGAATATTTCCCACTTCGATTACCGTTTCATTAGACCTTTTCATTTTTAAAATAACTACCCAAAACAAGAAAATGGATGAATGAGTGCACGGATATGTGGATGGACAGCAGAATGCGTAGAGGCAAATACTGTATTCGTCCCTTGTGATTCGGCACAATTTATCGACAAGGAGTATGAAACGGCTGATAGCGAGGTCGCAACCTCGCTAATACCGAATATTCGTGGAGTAAACATCCACACTACTGGATACTGGCAAAATGTTTGCTCAGCATTTGGTAAATACGAATGTGTGGAGTCGCCCTCAGAGACACTTAATTAATTAAGGTATAAATGTGAATTTAGGAATACACAAACTAAAAAGTGTATTGTAGGTCTTCGATTGGTTGGAATAGTGAACATTTTACTTCATTATTTTACGATGAAAAATTCTAAAGAATAATGTCAAATTTCCGTAAAATGTGCACTTTTCAACCTATCCAACAGACCTTATATTTAAACATAGAATTGGCTGTAATTAAATTTTGAAAAATTATAATTAAGAAAAATATGTTTTGATCAAAAACAAAACAGTAATTTCAAGCGAGAATATCGCGATTTTAAAACAAAAATGTAAAAATTATTTTAGTGTTATCCTCTTAGAACCAGTGGCGATATTCAATAAAATTTAATAACAGGTTCTCTGTACTAGTGACAGTTTTAACTAGAGGGTGTCCGAGAAGGCTTTCCCTGATTACAAACATGCAGAAGGCAGAAAATATGACATATAGACACATATCTTTTATCTTGAATTGCAGGTAACATATTCAAGTTTTTGTGTGTACATGCATACTCACTGTTACTTTGTTTGTTACAGAACAATCACAGCCAATACCTATCTTGATATGTTGCGGTTATTTGTTGTGCCACAGATTCAGGACATTCCGGACTTAATTTTCCAACAAGATGGTGCGCCACTTCATTGGGCGTTAGACGTTTGTGCGTATTTGGATACAGCATTTCCGGGAAGATGGATCGTGCGTGGTGGTCCCACCATGCACGACCCATCTTCCCGGAAATGCTGTATCCATCAACTAGCCTCCGCGATCACCGAACATAACACCACGGGATGTCTTCCTTTGGGGTTATGTCAAGGACCAGGTTTACCAAACATCAGTGAACGACATCGCAGCATTACGGCACAGAATTACTGACGTCGTAACATCCATCCCTCACGATATGTTGACCAACACATGGGTGGAATTGGAATATCGTCTGGATATCCTTCGAGCAACGAAAGGAGCACACGTCCAAATTTATTAATGAGTATGTATGTACACAAAAACTTGAATATGTTACCTGCAATTCAAGATAAAAGATGTGTGTCTGTGTGTCATATTTTCTGCCTTCTGCATGTTTGTAATCAGGGAAAGACTTCTGGGATTATTCATTTGTGTGTAGTGCTTTACAGTATTTTTTCACGCCAAGGCACTAAGTACAGTACATTGAAAAAAAAATGCTCAGAGGGTAACGGAACCTTGGATCCTCAAAATACATATTGAGGATCCAACAGAATTAAAACCATAAACGAAAAAAATATTGTATAGCGTCCCCCTACTTCCTGGGACCCAAAGCAATTTGTTCCTTTTTGATTTCCCTCTAGGAGTATCTGGTTACTTTAAGAGTATTAATTCGGAACTTAGCCTAAAATTTAAATGTTCTTTATTCACAATACAAATACAATAATTTAATTTAGAGAAAGCTACGCACAGATTATTAGGACCTCAACTAGACGGATACCCACACACCATAACCAGATCGGCAGACCTAGTTAACATCCTTAAACAGATATCGACACCTCCGAAATTCATAACTGTCTTGGACTTCAAATACAATTAATTTTGTATTCTTGATATAATTTCGCTCACAGTTATAAATTCGAAGTGAAAACTATCCCAAATTCTGTTACGATTTTCATGTTTTCTTTCGGAATACCAAAAATTTGAATTTAAACTGGAAGTTCGTAGTGTATTCTAATATTTTGAACTGATTACAATTAAGGGATTAATTACGAATCCAGCATAAAAATGAATTAAAACTCAAATTAAAAGCCGAGCATAATACTAAAATTAAAACAAAAAAAGTAAATTAACTTATAAAATTTTCAATTAAGAATATTTTTTAAAAAATTTCACTGGAAAGTTATCTCGAGATATGTATATGAAGATAGTAAATTTACCTATTTTTTCTCCGATTTGCGTACGGAAAGGGTTTCTTGACGAGTATGATCTGTCTGTCCATTTACCAAACCAATTAGACATTTTTTTTTTCTTCTTATGTGGACGGCTTCAGATTTTCAAAAGAATAATTTTCAAACTTGAATTGGAATATTACCGCTACGTCATGACTACATAAGAATTACTGTATTATTTAAAAATAAAATTTGAGTATAAATTGCATTTCATTAATTAGAATCTGATAACTTAGAATTAATTCTACACACGATAGTCTTTTTTAATTTAATTAAGAAAAATTTTTTTGTAGACTTTTCAAATAAAACTTTATTTAAACTGATTTTCAATGCACTATACTGTGTTTTAGTTTTATAGGTGTTTCTATAAATACAGATGCGAGGTTCCGGACAAGTCCGAATCGTAGTAATTGTGTTGATTATACAGAAATTGTTAAAGCAAAAACTAAACGAAAGCTACGTAAGGAGAGAAAACATTTGTAGTTAATTTTGTATAAAAGCTAACTTAGTAATAACTTATTTGCATTTTGCAGTAATTTGTTGTTTTTAGAATGTAGCCGCCTTGGAAGAATGTTAAAGGGGTCCACACACGTTGAGGAAATCCTTTGAGGAATCACTGTGCAGGTCTGGTTTTGAGGAAATTCAGAATTTCATATCCCCAACACACGAGTAAAAACTTTATTAGTCAGTCGGCAATGGCATGTGATGACGTACTGACTGTTCTTGGATGTTTATTGGCAACAAATTGTATTAAAACTCGCGGGAAAAACATGTGCGTAGAAATCTGTGTAAAGAGCGGCTAAAAAAGGATCGTATTTCTATGTGAACCTGACCTTAGAATTGAAGTTAGTACGTAAAGATTGGCAGGATTTGAAAATGAACGAAGAAACGTATTTAAATCTGTTAGCATTGGTTACATTAATCACAGAAATACAAGATACTGTAAGGGTGCGACTATGCTGACGCGAGCAAGCGAATTTTCCGAGCGAGCGAGAATATGTGGCGAGAAGAGGCGAGACGCGATAAATATCAAAACCTGTCAGATACGTGCGAGAACCAGAAATTCGCTTTCGCTAGCGTTATTTCTCGCTTCTCGTTTGTGCATGGTTTTCCTTTGCGAAAACTGAATCTCTCGCTCGCTCTAAATTCGCGTCTGCATAGTCACACCCTAATGCGAGCAATTTCAGTTCAGACACGGCCAACGTATTTTTTATTTTTTTCTCTTTCCGCCGTGGCCTCTAAGAAAGACTCTTTTAGCACGTTCATTATGACTGGTTTGGCCAGAGCGATAGGCTGCCACCTTGACCGCGCGGCCATCCTGTCACCTTAAGGCATTTGGCAACATGAAAGTTTTGAAGATCTCAAATTTTCAACAGTGATATCACCTCAAGTCCTTGGCTACATCATACCCGAAACACGTGATGCTATTTACAAAGAGGGGCCCACCAGTGGCCAAGCGGTCTTCGAACCCTGAATACTGGAAATTCGGTTGTGGGTTCGTGCCTCGCTCGGACGGGCTGGCCACGTGTTTTCTAGGTTCTCTCCATGTCTGTAACGCCTAAATAGGGGGCAGTTTCCCTTAAAAAGACCTCCCGGAAGGCACCCCCTAGTTGCGTTGCCATATTTTAACAAACAAGCAATTTACAAAGTCCTTCATAAAGATTATTTAAAAAGGTAAGAACAAATTTTTCTTTTTAATAGATAGTGTTACTTTATTGTCATAATGTAGAAAATGCCAAATCACATTAACATTAAAATTTAAAACAAATGAAACTCTCATTTTAACATGGTGATTATTGAGATTATCCTTTCTGATATTGTTCTTGCTCCTGATGTAGTTGGACGGAAGTGCTGAAGAGGGACTGGAAATACCTGAATATGAAAAAGATGAGCTAGAAATTGATGATTGGTATCGAATAAATTGCTGTGACACGTGTTGAGCTTCATAAACCAATTTGTGAAATAAAGTTGAAACAAAGTTTCGTTTATCAGTTTTTCAGATATCAGCATTTGTTGTCTTGGAAACCACGCAATTTCATGCAACAAATTTTCCAAAAATATCAAAACGATCATCTTGAACATGGAGTCTCTAAAATGATCATTGACAATTAATAAAACTTCGTTACTCAAAGATTCTTGATCTCTGCCCGAAGACTTCATTTAGGAGGACGGCTGCATCGCATCTGTACAAAATATCTGAAAGTTCTGTGAAATTTTCATCCTGTGTAGAGATTATTGATGTAGTAGTATCTCCGCTGTTAGAATTGTCTTGCATTGTATTATCTGTAGCGTATTCCTGAAATAATAATTTGATTAATTTAAGTTAATGTAGTAAAGGAAATTGATTGTCTTAACATGTTATGTTAATTTTATTAATTTAAAAAATTAAGTTAATTATTCTTTTCTTTTTTAGTTTTCACGAACAGAAAGAGAATGGATGAATATAATGAAACATTTTGAAGAAAAATGGAATTTCACGCATTGCCTTGGAGCAATGAATGAAAAACATATCAACATTATTCCCACAAGTGGAAGTAGATCAGAAGTTTATAATTACAAAGAAAAACAAAGCATGATTTAATTGGCTATTGTGGATGCAAAATATCAATTCATCATGTGCGATTTTGGTACTAATGGTAGAGTTTCAAACGGATGTGTTCTAAAACGGTTTTTGAAAAACTTGAAAACAATAAGTTAAACATTCCTGTTGAAAGTAGTCAGAAACAGTAGTAGAAGTACGCCCTATTTGTATTTATAGTAGACGATACCTTTCCTTTGAGTAGACATGACGAAACCATTTCGACAAGCAGATCTCATTTTCCAAGATAGGAAAATATATACAGTAGAGCCTCGATTATCCAACCCAATTGGGGACTGGGGTTGGTCGGATAATTGAAAAGTCGGATAACCGAAAAGTATGAAAAAATCCATTACAGTAGAGCCTCGATTATCCGACCCAATTGGGGACTGGGGTTGGTCGGATAATTGAAAAGTCGGATAACCGAAAAGTATGAAAAAAATCCATTATTAGTGTAGTATATTATTATATGTCATGTAATTAGTATATCGCTATTAACCTACTTCGCTTTGAATTTTCATCGATGTTAAGCCTAACAAAAATTTTTTAAAATAATAATCGTCGCTATTGTATCGTTAAAAATTAGAAAATTAAGCCTCGTTTAAATACTGGCTCCCTTTCATAGTCGAATGAGTGTTGCCAGCTAAAACACGTAAAAATAATATTAAAGTAGCCAAGACATAGCCAAATATTGTAGCGCCACATCACTACCGGACATTTGAAATTTGCAGACTAGGACGGTCGGTTAATCGGGGGTCGGATAATCGAGGCTCTACTGTAATTATCGCGTATCACGAGCAAGAGCATTGTCAAGAACGCATTTGGTATTTTCGCATCACGATTTCGAATATTTCACATGACAATTAATTTACAACCACATAAAATTGAATTAGTTGTGCAAAACGCAAGTGGCCATTACAACTTTTTAATGAAATCAGTGCTGGCAAAGTTTTTCTCCTCCTCCAGAATGTTTTGATCATGAAAATACTAATGTTGGAACTACTATTTTAGGATGTAATATAGAAGATTCAAAAATGGTGAGATTAGTCCGAAATAATCCAGGAGACACGAGTTTTTCGGCAAAAAAAAGGAGAGAGAAGAATTTATGGATTATTTTGTAAATGAAGGCCAAATTCCATGGCAATTGAACTTTATCAACGTTGTAGTTGAACTGAAAATTGGATTGCTATTAAAACATTACTATTAATTTCCTTCCTATATGCATTTCTGGTGTTATTAATTTTTTACAACACTTTCTTGTTAGCATTTGGCTCAATGTCAATGTAAAAAGTAAAGATTATCGTGAAAAGCAGAAAGGAAGTTGCCTATTTATGTTTAATGTTCCATTAAACGTAAATAGACAACTTCCTTTTTGCTTGTCACGATAATCTTTACTTTTAACATGCTAAAGGCATGGTTCACTTTCGTAAATCTTTAAAAATTCTTCTAAACATTCACGGGATATTGTTCTCACTCAGCAGCCTCACAACTGAACGGAAACGACAGCACACGAGCTACGATCGGCCTGCGCAGTCTAGAACTTTGCAGGACAATCAAATGGCTTTCATTTATACTCTGGTGGACTGTACAATTAGTTGGAACTGTACCGTTTTCCCCCATACACTAACAGGAATTCAAGGCCTGACCTGTGCAGTTATTCCTCGATGTGTGTGGGCCTCTTTAGCTCTCATGCGGCCTTCAAATGAGAAAAGGTACCCATCCCTGGGATATACTATCCATAGTGGACCTTTCTCGTGACCCGAACCGATCTCGGTTTTCACCTGGATACAGGACAGAGACCAATCGTGAAGCGAGATAAATAAATTAGGCCCAATCAAAACGACAGATTTGGGGAGAAAACCAATAAAAACTCCGTTCTCTCTCTAATTGTGCGCGCGACAAATCAGTGTCACTAGTTGTTAAAAATCTCTCTGTCGAACGATCGGAGTCCACGGTGTAGTCGGAGTGTAGTTTGAATCGCACGCTTATCTTGATGGATACATCCGCTTCACTGCACGGGGCAGTGAAGCGTCACTGCCTTCACTGCATTGATCTATTGTGTCATCACTCTCTTAGTAGTCTCTGCAACTCAATTACTCCAGCCTTCCAAGCAAGTGACTGTCTTATGAGCCGAACGTCAGTTACGTTCTACATTTGGCGAACTCGACCGATAATATGCAAGCAACCGTTGATTTAAACTGTTTTGTGTAAAAGCACCTGAGTCCTCTGCCTCCCATACCATTACCCACATATGCACAGCTCTCAGACTATTTTTGAAGATTTTGTTTTCAGGTTCGATCCCTGTATGTGAGATGTTTTTTTTAATTTATATCAATAATTTAATCTTATCATTTTTAATATGTTATATACAACTAAGATCATTGAAAAAATATATTTTGCTTTGATCACTCCAGTTTTACAAAGCATTTATAACATTATAATCACATTTTGTATTATTTAATGTAATGTAGGTTTTTATAGACTTCTTAATTGAAATATTACAAGCCATCTGTAAAAAAAAGGAAAACTTTTATTAATAACATTCTTCAGATGGTCAAACAAATTCTCAAATATATGATGAAGTTTTTATAGATGACTATGATATTCCACCTTAATTGTCACCAAAATGCACTCATCTTTGTCAGCCTTGCAATGTTTATTTTAATAGACAGGTTAAAAATTTTATCAAAAAAATTACAAAATTGTAGCTATATCCTTAAAACCAATACATAAATAGCCAATTGCAAAGATGCTATTAAAATATGTACAATCTCTAATGCACAATCAGTTGGGTGCACAAGTTTTTTGTGACATGTTAAAATATGCATGGTTTGTGTCTCAAATAACACATAAAATAAATATTTTCAAAAACGTTAATAAAGTGTATTTTCCAGCCCCTGTTGTTAAAACAAGGACTGTGTGAAGGAAGTAGCAAAGATTATATGTGTGTAGTGCAATGAGCCATTTTGTTTTAACTGTTTTTATGATAAAATATTATACAAAATGCTGTCATATTATAGTGAAACTGTTTCATATCAATTTTAGATTAATCTGATTAATATTTTTTTCACAATTTCAACCTTATATACACAAGAAAATGCACTATTTACTTTCAGAACAAACAAGGCATGGAAATATATTTATGTAGCAAAAACACACTTATTGATTTTTAAAACTTTGTGAACTAAAATTTGGCATTATATTTTAAAATTTTCAATTATTTTCACTCTCTTCTTTCATTTCTTTTTTTCATTACGATGAATAATTTTTCCTACTATTTAGTCAAAATTTTCAACCTTATCAGAAAACTCTGTTGATTTCCTATAGAAATACTTGTAATTGAAATCATGGTTCCTTTTTTGAAAAAACTGGTAATCAAGACACATATGTTTCAAATACATCCCATTTTTTAAAAAAGCCCCAAAATTTACGCTGATTCAAATTATTGCAGCATTTCACTAATTCGTGATTCGTACATAATACGATTATTTCCACAAACGAACCAATCAGCAAAAGGTGGCAATTCATCGTACCACTGTACTTTCCTTAAATCTATGTTTGTTAGGTGCAATTTTGGAAAAATATATCATCATGAATGCCATAGGCAATATCAATTTGCATGGCATGAATTAACTGATGAATGCACGAACAGAGTGTGGGAAAGTTATGGCTGAAGGTATCCAAGAATTCTAAACGAGAAGAGCCTATTGTTGACCAAATTGTCAACCTAATCGATACAGCAGGACTAGGAAATGTAGACAACCAGGATATTGAGGAGTCACTGCAGGCTTCTGGTGAGAGCCTTACCAATGACCTTCAAGAACAGGCAGAACAAAAAATTCAAGTAGAACTGGAAAGTAGTAATTCTGGAAATAAAGAACCCAAAGAATTTTTACAGATTTTCTTAGTAAAAATTTGGTAACAATAATCGAAATCGTTGATCAAGCTGTAGTTAATGATCCAGATTTTGAAAGGAGTGCAAAAGCAAGATGAGACATTTTCGATGTGATCTCCTGCTACCAACATTTGCTTAACTAAAGAAAAAAAACAGTGACAAATGACAATAGACTACTTGATCACAAAAAACAAGAATTTCAGAAAAGCCAGACCGTCATGACAAAAAATGAACTTTACATTTCTGTGTGCATATATTTGTATGTTTAACATATATTTATTATGTGAATCAATATAAAAATAACTTAAAATTAAGTAAAACTGCTTATTTTTTGTCTATTCGTCTGTTTATCTTTTCCCTATTTGTTAAAATGACCTCATTTAATGCTGTTTTGTTTAGCGCTTTGTCATCTAGGAACGTATCCCCCACATTAAGCGGGGTCTTACTGTATTTGCTTTTTTTCAAAAATTTGAAATTTAATTATTTTAAATTTGTATTATACAAAAAAAAATCATAAACAGTAATATGTTTGTAATAAAAAAAAAACAACAGAAAACAGATCGAATCTAGCCTGTTTTTCAAGTGAGAAATCACAATTTAAGAAACCTCACTCTGACAGTCTATGGTCTAACAAATGTTAGAGTCCAAATCTTTTTAGACATCAAGATTTGATTTCTAATCACCTACCCATCATTGTCTTTACACCTGAGAAAGACTTTGTCAAGGAAAAGAGAAATAAAGTACTCTTCTGTTTACCTCTTATGTAATGCCTTGTTGTCATGTTTTTCTTGAAATTATTTTTATATCTGAAATTTGACAACTGAACAACTGGCTGACTACTTGCACACTATCTTATTGATTTTTATTAATAAATATTTTCCAGAGAATATGTAAGAAGGAAGAGTAATAGTAGAAAAGTATTCCTGGAGGAAATTTATATCAGATCATACACTAGCATTAATAAAACATATAAAACTTTAAGAATGTTAAAAAAAGAAGTTTAATAGCTCTGGAAGAGCAAAATAGGTACCTAGAGAAAATAAAAATTCTGAATAAATCAGATCAGGAAGAATATTTGGACAGAAGAGAATAATTACTATAGTCTATTGTTTTCCAATGTTGACACTCCTCACAATTTTTGGAAAAGGATTAATTAAAACCTTATCCTCTGAGGTAATAAGAACAAAGAAAGAAGCTAAAATAAGTCAATTATATGAAAATGGAAGAACTACTGGAGATGAGCATATAATCTGTAACATTTTTGCCGATCATTATAGATCTACAAATGGTTTCGTTCCTGAAGTGCTAACTCAAAACATTATACATGTTCCGGTGTCTAATACTTTGTTTGCAAAATTCAACTCCTTTGGAAGTCTGTAATGTTATAATAAACTTAAAGAATAGTGCTCTGGACATGGAATTTTTACGTATAGAAATTATAAAGCATATATCAAATATCATAGCTACACCTTTATCGTACCTGACAAATAAGTCCTTTGAAAGTGGTATTTTTCCAGGAAAGTTAAATCATAACCTTGTATTAACGATATATAAAGAAAAAGGATCCAAGTGTGATATTGAAAAATTACCATCCATTTACAATCGTTTCCGAAAATGTTAGCAAATATCTTGAAAAAATTTTCTGCAAGAGAGTTTCTAAATATATAGATAAATTTCAGATTTTTCACAGTCATCAATATGCTTATAAATGACATTTTTCAACGGTAGGCGTGTTAACACATTTAAAACAGTTAATCACATCACAACTGGATAAATCGAAATTGAATATAGTGGTTCAGTTTTCGTAAACCTCTCAAAAGCATTCTACAGACTGGATCTTCAACTCTTAGAATTAAAATTGCAAAAACGTTTGTTTAAGAGGAAGTCCTCTAAAATCAATTAATAATTTGTATTTGACAAATATGACTATGTTAAAGTTGAACATGCTCTCTTGTTTTTTTAAACTAAATAAGGGCATTCCTCCCAAGGTTCTATTTTGGATCCACTGCTCTTTTATATATATATATAAAAGAGCAGTGGATCCATAAATGATCTGTTCAAATATATAACAGATAATAAACATTATCACATATTCAGATGATATAGTAATAACTTATACTCATATGGAAGCTCAAATTCTTCAAGATAACCTAATACTTACATGGAAATGAATAAGCTACAAATTAACAGTAGCAAGACAAAATTCCTCCGTTTCAGTAATAAAATAAAACAGTAAATCTCAATCACTTAAAAATTAAAATAAATGAAGGTGAAATTGAAAGATTAATGTTATAAAAGTACTTAGAAATGAAAACAGATGATCATCTTCGATGGAACTGGCATATAGATGATATTGATTTGTCATTAGCTAAGTATATTGTAATAAAAAAAAAATTCAAAACCTTTTAAGTATTTCACAGTTGAAGCAATTATATCACGAAATATAAAATAAGATACAGCATATCTGTTTGGAGAACTGCATCCTTATATGTGTGAGGCTGCAGATTTTTACGGGACTTTTAAAAATCCAAATTTTATGTCAATTGTAAATATCTCCAGAAAAAACCCAAAGAAATTGAACTTAGATCATAATATCAATTAGATGGAAAAGTTGACACTTAGGTGTGAAAAATGCACTGTCATCATCAACAAAAGTCAATCAGATGTCAGCTTTCTCACACGAAGGATATAAAAGGGGATTACAACGGAAGCAGGGCAAGTCTGCACATGGAAGTCATTTTTGGTACTTGTGCTCGTCTCCATGCCAAGGAGTGATCCTGTCGGAAGAAGACACCACACCCTTCCATACAGACGACGTTCGCCAACTCTCCATTATTCTGAAAGGTATTTAGGGACTTTAGAACTTGTATAAGCGCTCTCTCTCTCACTAGAAGGTCAGCGACATAGTTACGAGATTAGTCGTCATTTTATGTAAATATTTTAGCATAACCACATTTAACCTTAGTATTAATTTTGCCTCCTGTAACGTAAATCTAGTTATTCAATAAATGCTTTGTTATTTTGTTAAACCTGTCTTCTGTCTTTGGAAGGACGCCTGCCAGCTTACCGACGTTCTCCCCACTCGATTAGCCCTCCTAGCCATCCAACAACTCCGAGATCAGGCTTTACTAGCCCGTGCAGATTAAGTGGTCATTTGGAAATTAACTCAGTGGCCCAATGCCAATCTCACATATGCAATTAATAAACTTCAAGTAGTACAAAATCATTTTATTCAATCCATTCATAATTTACACTTCAGAGAATTGGTGTTGGAATACTATAGAATTGATAAAATTGATAGAATATGCAATATTTATATAAAGTTTTGGTGGACAGCCACAAATTTATAAATGGAAATAAAGATAATAGTTGTCTAGGAGGAAATAAAATAAGTGAATACTGTAATGTTTCAACTCAGAATACTCAAAGGAATTATGAATACACTTTTCCAGTTGTCAGACTCATGATAGGAAAATCTTTGCCAATTTTTCAAATTATTTTATATTGGAATAAGTTCAGTAATGACTTAAGAAAAGTGTCAAGTTATAAAGTCTACAAAAATGTAAAAAATCTGTTTATGTTAAATTATTAGTTAACAGCAATAACTATAATTTATTTTTTGTGTTTTCAATTGTTTGTAGANACTCAAATTTAGAGAGAGAGAGAGAGAAATTCAAGCTTTTGTAGTAATGTGAAAAATCACGCTTCATTTAAATTTAGTGTGATTTTTGAAGATAAGGGAGTAATGTGAGATCCGAATTAGCCCTGGGTCTAAATGATAATTTAAAATTAAAGTTTAATTTTTGTAGAAAAATATTCTTTTGTTTTGGTGAGAAAATAACTGTTTTCTACTGTGGGAAAACAGATAACAGAGCCACTTCCTTTGACGGAAGTAGAAGCATCCTTTGTTTTTCCCTTATCTGTTACAAAATCTCACCACCATGAGAACTGACGACCCCTCATTTATTCCCCTTCCATCCGTTCATGCGGGTGAAGAATACTATGTTGATTAGTTGCTGATTAATAGATATAGTCAAAATTTAGCCGAATTCGGGGAGTTCGTCAATAGATCCCAGATGAGGAAAATGAAATCCATACAAGCTCCAGAAGACCAACGCCCATAGTCGTATCCTATCGAATTAATATTGAGTTAGAAACATAGAAGATAAATTTTAACATTGTGCTTATCAAGACCTCCCCTTGAATAGAAGTTGAGAACTTAGAACTGAAGTATATTCGACGAAAAGAAGTTAAAGTCAACTAAACAGGTTGTATGTTTATGAATGAATTGTGAGCTCTCTCTCTTGACATTGTATAAGTTCAGTGAGTCCGTTACTCTCTCGGCGCATCTAATTGGATTTATTTGTTGTAGTCATTCGTTTATCTCTGAATACCTAACCATTTTTTTTTCTTTTGTATAATCTAGTTTGTTTTTAGTTATTAAATTTTCTTTATTTTTGTCAAAGAAATGTCTCATGTCAACTCTCTGAATCAAATCTACGGCATAATCACATGCGTGTTTATCCACGTAACGAAAAGTAGATAAACTGGTGTCAATCCTGACATAGATCCGAATCTCACGATTTGGATCGGTTACAAAAGTACTCCTGGTCAAAAATCTTGACATAGGATCGGATCAAAAGATCCGAAACCAAGAGAACAGATTTCACTTAATCTGCGCCGAATAAGCGATACCAACATCTTAATAGATAGATTGTACCCCTTGCTGATCTCACACTTGTCAACACAAAAAACATTTTCATTTTTTATCTGTTGCATCGAATGGGTTTAATAATTTTTTTAACAAAAAATCCTATTTTATCTTTTTTAAAAAAATAAACCTCACTAAAATAGTACTATATATATATATACACATACATACTTACTGTATAGTTTTGTCCTACTATATTCAAATCTTCCAAATTAAGATTTTCTTCTGTAAAAAAAAAAAAAAAATGTATGAATGATAAGAATATTTTTATTTAAAAAATACCTAAATAAATTTTTAAAAATGAATCTTAAGTTAATTTAAATTTTAGAATTTAATTTTGACTTAAATGTTAAACAAAACAACAAGAAGCAATCTTAAAAAAAAAAAACTACAATTTGGAATTAACGTAGGATAAGAATAATTTTCAAAAATTCTATTCCATCATAAAATATTGACATTACAAATAACCAAACAACATGTATAATTATTATTCTGAAATTTTGCAGTTTGTGCTTTACTAAATAATTCTCTAGCTTGGGCAGACCGAACAAGAAAATAGTTAAGTAAATTTTCCATTACTGGTTTTGTTGTGGATTTTAAAGAATTAAAAGCTATTGGCTTTTTTTCTTCAGTAACACATTACACAAGGAGCATTTGATATTGATTTTATTGGAGGAAATGCATTTTCAGTACAGAAATGCAAACTCTTCAGTACTTTACAAAAAATAGCTAGACAAGGATTACATGATACATAATAATATAAAAAAATTTTGTTAAAATATATGTAAGTTACATAGTTGATTGTTGGTTACAAATCTATATACAGTAATACCCCGAACTTATGCGATAAGTGGGATCGAGTGATAACCACGTAAGTTGGGGTATAATTTTGCAATTTGTGTAAAAGCCAAATCGGATGTATGTAAGCTAATAAATGTTCTTGTTAATCTTATCTCGTCTTTTGATTCATTCACGGTTGCAAGAAATCACCGCAGAGTCTCTCAAGTCTCCATAGATATAACAAACACAGAAATAAATAACACAAAATAAATTGTAGCTATGTGTCGATTCTGCAAGGCACGTCCAAACATGTAAGCTAAACAATAGTGTGGGAGGGGGGTAATCGAGAGTTGCGTGGCGCTCAAACAAAATACGAATCGACGCAATTTGAAAATCGTGTAACTCCGGGTTCATGTAAGTCGGGGTAGCGTAAGTCGAGGTATTACTGTATATATATAATCAAAATGGGTTGATGATGATGATAATAATAATAATAATAATAATGTGCAGAGCCCAAACAGTTAGGAGTTGAAGGATGAAATTTGATACACAGTTAGGGTATGTCATGAGAACATACACTACAAAGTGATTTTTCGAAATTCCCCTGCGGGGGAGAGGGACAGGATTAAGACTTCCCGTGAAGAACTTGGCTTTTATTATACAAGGATTATTTTTTAAACAAGGTCCATTTGCAAATGAGAGTGAGAATAATGTGCGATTGCGACAGTGTGTTTGTGCATCTGCTCCGAACTGCAAATGGCTCAGCACACAGACAGATGATATGGCTGCATATGATGTCTAAGCATGCTTTGCACGCATTTAAACAACATTTGCAGTCATATCATATCATCACATTTATGTCATTTTGTTTTACTGATCTGACAGTCAGTGAGTAATAAGACATACCAAGCTACAGATGCATTGCATTTTGTTATTTTTTTTAATTATTGTGTTTTGGTGAAGTTAAGCTGAACTGAGGCTTTATTAGCATTTTTTTTTTTTTTGAAGATGGATATTACTCCCAAAAAGCACACTAAGATTGTTACTTTGAGTGAACACACATCAATGACTCAAAGAGATGTTGCCAAGGAGTGTGATGTGAGTTTAGGAGCTGTAAACAAGATTTTGAAGCAAAATAGGGACACTGGGACAATTGAGGTGAACAGAAAAGAGAAATGTGGAAGGAAAAAAAAACAACAGCATGGGATGAAGCTTTTTTAATAAGGGAAAGTAAATTAAACCCTAGGAAAACCAGTCAAGAACTTCAACAAGACTTAGCACACACTGGAGTTATTGTTCATGACTTGACTCCACTGTACGAAAACAACTTATAGAAAGTGGGAGAAAAATGGTTAGACCTCAAAAGAAATGGTTATTGACTGCTGCCATGATAAAAAAAACAATATAATTGGGCAAAAAAAATATGTGAGCTGGACTGTTGAAGATTGGAGGAAAGTGTTGTTTTCAGTTGAGAGCCATTTTTTTGGTACAAGGACAACAATCTTGTTACGTTAGAAAAGTGACAATGAAAAACTTACGGCAGCTCATATTAATTTTAAACAGTTAAACATCCATTAAAGATGTTCTGGGGCTGCTTTTCTTATAAAAGTACTGGATCCTTTGTGCCAGTCAAAGGCATGATAAACTCGCAAAAATACAGAGACTTAGAACAAAGATTGGAAGATGAACTAGGAAAAGTTGATGCCAATGATCAAGCAGTATTTCAACAAGACTTGGCTCCTTGTCATGTTTTCAAGGTGATAATTAAACATTTCAAAGACAAAAAGATATACCTTGAATGACCAGGAAATTCACCAGATCTTAATAGTAAAAGCTAGACTTTGTAAAATAGATTGCACAACAAAAACAAAACTGATTGAGGCTGTAATCCAGATATGGTTTTGAGACCAGCAAATAACAGAAAACTAAAAAAAAACTTATTGATTCCATGCCAAAATGTGTTCAAGAAGTTATTAAAGCCAAGGGAGTACATATTTCATATTAAAACAATTTAAATTGTATTCATTTTTTGATTCTATTCATCTTTAACCAATAAATGTTTTTTTTTTTCAAATTTTCACTTGTGTTCACATTAATTCGCACAATACTGTAAGTATTTAATGTTACATAAGGTAGAGGTGGGCTGAGTTCAGATCATCCTTAAGTTCACAGTCACACTTGCAGAATGCAGTTGTATCTATATGGGAAAGCAGAATAACTTCATTCGATGGGGGCCATCTGGGGAGGTGGGGTGAGATGGAATCACTTGTGGATAATACCAGTTAAGGAGTGGTTTCCAAATGTCATTAATAGTTAAACTGTCATTTGAGTTCATAAGTTTTTATTTTAGTAATTTCCAAATTCAAATAATTTCCTTTTTATATGTTTTTCCCCTTTCCTGAGCACTTTTAGATTATTGAGTGAAATCTCAACTTTCACCATTGCAATGTATGGTGAAGGTTGAGATTTGTAGCCATCTACAGCAAAATTAGTGTAATTAAATTTAATAGCATGTGAATGTTCTTTTAGTCCGATTTTTAGGGTTCTTCCAGTTTCACCAATATATTGGTAATTTGGTTGGCAGCTGCAGGATCTTCTATATATATATAGTTAATTTGTTGCATTATATCAATATTTTTAATGATATTTTCTTTAGTTATTAGTAAATTTTTATTATTTCTAGTAAATACTGGGGCTAGAGTTATATTATATGGTTTTAAAAGTATTTTTATTTTTTAAATACTATGGGGATGTAAGTTTTTTTATAAGTCATTTGAGTTGGTATTATATATTTTGGGTTGAAGTAGGGTTGGTATTGGTAAGCCAGTTTTTCTAGTATCTTCTTTGGATTGTCGTTTAGTTGAAAGATTTTATAAATATGTGTTTTTCCTTTATTTTGTTCAAGGTAATTGCTCGTATGTGTTTTAATTTTGGTGATATACATGTCAAAAATATTTTTCTTGTTATACATAGGTGTACTGGAATCATGGTTAATGACTTTCCTTATATGGTTTAATATACTTTTTAAAATTTAAGCTGTTATGAGACTTTTGAACTGTGATGTCTAAAAATGGTAAGTTATTATTATATTCTAGTTCAATACCAAAGGCTATGTTAGTTACTATATTATTGGCACATTTAAGGATTGGTTTGAGGGTTGGTTAAAGTATTATTGTAAATTAAGAAGCAGTCATCTACATATCTATTGTATTCTATTATGCCACTGACGTTTCTAATATGATCTATTTTTATCATACATAATTCAGTTAGTTTAGGGCTTATATATAAATTCATAAGTATACCGTCAGATTGTCTAAATATTTTTTTATTACAAGTAAAATTATTATTAGTTAAAACAAATTGAACCAGTTCAATTACCCAATTATCACAGTTTGAAGTATTTAATGTATTGATTATAAAGTTTTTATGTACAGATGGATACATATTTTTTATGTCTAGGCTTAATATTCTGCTGATAGTATTAATATTAAGTTTTTTTAAGTTACTAATGAATTGGTCTGTATTTTTAAAGCTATAATCAGAATTGATATTGATTTAATTTACTCTTAAGGAATTTTTTGAGGTTGTATAAGACGTAAAATTTAATATCTACTAATGGCCTGTATGATTCTTGCAATTTATGTTTTAACTTCAACACTGAGTTTAAAGATTCTAGAGTTGTAATCTAAGATAATATTAATACAAATGATTTTAACATTATTAGATTTTTTTAAAACTTTTAGTTATCTTTCCAAGTTTCCAAATATGTGTGATGTAGGATCTTCATTTAGTTCAATATATTGGTGTGAAATGATTAGATTTATCTATAATTTAATGTTTTTTTATTTTTGTTTATCCATTATAACTAATTGTATACTTGCTTACTGGAGAATTCAATAAAATTAAAAATAAAAACCATTCAAGTATCCAGCATAATTCTTTAATAACATAAAAACATTTTCAAACGCATTAAGCATTCATCATCAGTTATTTCTCTAATTCGAAATGGGAAATTCGAAAAATTACACAAACAAATTTCAAATAAACAGTTATGTAAATAAATTAAAAGGTAACATATTATAAACGAAAATGATACATACAAATTTCCATGTGCTTAATAAATAATAACAAAAATAACTAAATAAATAAAATATCCATCGAGGATCATCCTATGCCCGATTAAGCCTTTTATATAGATCTATCCAATTCATCGCAAAAAGATTTCCAAGCGGACAAAAGCCCATCAGCATCCCTATAGTTGATACATTGCGTGCTCTCCTGTGCCCTATGAATTGCCAGCTTTTTCGAGATATTTTACGTGTCTAGATCTGGTAGCTTTTATTATAGAGACCTGGTCCCAGAAGACATTAATGCCTTGTTTAGCATAAGTGGCAAGGACCGTACTGTCAACTGTTTTGTTCACTGAAAGCTTATGCTCATTGATT